CTCCCCACACACAATTCAAAAGTGTGGTTTTTTTTCTAAAGACAGTTAAGTAATTGATATTCATTCATGATATCGCTCTATGCGTGCGTACGTGTTGGTTGCTTAACTCATTTATAAGGATAAGTGGAAGTTAATGTGACTAGAAACTTTTATCTCATTTTGATATAACTTAGGAGTTCATTATTTCAACTGGATATTTAGAGCACACTAATGTTGATTTATTGGGGTTGTTAAACCGCTTCGGACTACCTTTTTACTCTTCAACTTTTGACTATATTTGTTTATTTATTTTATTTCTCTGCGTTCCTAGTGAAACAGGGCTTCAAGCTTGAACTTTAAAATTTCAACATTAGTGGTGCTTTTTAACGGAGTGGGGTTGTTGACCTCACGCCTAATCTACTCTCTTCATGAGGTTTAATACTGGCTAGGCGAGATTTGGGAGTGCGTCGACCGGGAATGGAAACTCGAACCACATGCGTGATTGGCGATTATTCTACCAATAAACCAGCGACACACACATTTGTTTATTGACTACTTATGAAACCTGTTTCTTGTGTAAGCTGTTTTTCACTGACTAAACAAGTAAAATGTAACGATACACCTATTGTAAACGGTCAAGTAATGTTAATTCGCTGTCCGAGTAGGAGAAGTGGAAACCATGTCTGTGACCCATTGCTTGAAAAGCCAAGCGCATAGATCATAGAAGCACAACCCCGACTCACTCATTGTTGATTTGAATACTTCTGCCTGTTACAATGCATTTGACTTGGTATTTTATTCTTAATCCCGTATAAGGCAATTGCGTCATACTGACTGATTGAAATTGTACTGCCGCTAACTAGGAGCATGAGCTCATTCATTTTTCTGGTTTGTATACAACTACATCGATTATTCTGTGAACAGTACCACTGTCCAACTAACCGAATCTAAGTAAGTCCAGTGTCGGTTATTCATCCCACCTATTTGTTCTTTAGTAAGTTATTTAGACAACCTCCACCAATCTTATTTATACCATTGCATACATATTGATGGATGTGACTGATGTTTGTCAACTGTAGTGTTTCAAGGGGAAATTTAATCGGTTTAGAGTACCCAAATGATATACAGACCCCGAATAAACGTAGTCTTATACACACCCTAATTAGGATTGGCCTGCAATTCATACTTGTCATCTATAAGCTGACACTACAGGACTATTTCTAGATCCAAAGATTTTTTTCCAATGTTAAATTCTTTCATATCAAATTTCACATCATGTTATGTAACGTTTCATATTTGCCTACTAACCCTATAATTAAACAGCCCCTTTCAACGTCTCTACATCCAATGAATTATTCTATATCTGACGTTAATTGTTTTGCTACTTGACACTTGATATTTAACGATGATTATAATCACAAATATTTTAATTACATCTCATTCTATTATTATTTTATTTATTCACACCTTTGTTTAAACTTCCTCACGGGGTATATATATATACGATTGTGCAACCTGATAATAACTTTGTTGAAAAGAGTCTCTTCGCTGTGTTCTCGATATAATATTGTAACAAAACATATGAAATTACATATCAGGAAAAATAATGAATAAATTAAGTTCAATGGAATTTCGTACAATCAGTTCTCTTGGTGAGTTTGAACAAAGGGAGAACGAACACATTTCCAGGATGAGAAAAGCTAATTAACCTCATACTACCCTGGTATTAAATGTGTGTACTTTGTTTGTGTGTTTTGTAGTGTCACAAAAATTTATATTATTGTCTTGATTACAACTCACTGAGCTGAACTCTTTATTAGTTTTCTAATTAACTGAATTGTTTCAGTTAGTAATTTTATTTACCATTTATTTCACACACACACACACACCATTCGAACGTTCCATCACTTTATGCACAAATAAACTATCTTGTATTCCCATCTTTCTTTCCACTATTGCAAATAAGTGAACTAGTCTCATGAGATGTAAAAACACTAAATGGGGAATATGGCTCAGAAAAGATTATCATTAAGCCTGAGAAGCTCTTGAAAACAGGACCGTCGTTCACAAGATTAAGAGATTCAGAATATGTATGAAGTGTAATTTAAAGTTAGGAGTTTAAGGGGAAAACATGGGAGAAGCAAATGAATGTGGATTGCAAACCAAATTACTGTAGAAGTTAGAAAAGGTTTTTAAAGCTATGAAAGTAGCATGTATTGACAATTCGCTTCTATATACACAAATCAGGGTTTTCTTTGTGTATAACAAGAGCTTATGCTGTGAATAGATGTAACCGAGATTCCTTCGAACGACTTGACAATACCGTATATATCACTTTGAGAGATTTTCCCACTGGTGCTGAGTGATTTGTAAGAACAAGGTGTTCTTTCGCACCTGTAGATAACATCCTATTGGTACGCCTTATACATTTAGCTGCACAGGAGCGAGTGAATTTATATATGCACACAGATGTTGTCAACAGTGCAGTATTGTCCTCAAAATTTTGATGAATAAGAGGTTGCGCAGAGAAAGTGAGATGTACGGATGCGGCGAGAAATGTTTTCTGAATTTCCCTCCATAATCTGCTTTAACGAATTTTAACTCCTGTGTCACCTTTGAATTTCAGGCCTATAACTAACTTCTTCTTTGATATTTCATATGAACTGTGATCAAGATTTGACCGGATAGTTGCAAAATAATTGACTGTTGCATGACTCATGATTGGACAAAATTTAAAAACATGAGTTGTTCCTTTTATATATAAACCTCTGTTATGTTAATTCGATTAATTTCCCTGAAGAAGTTCGGACCAGTTTGCCGAACGAAACGTTGGAATTAATCATTTCAATTTCGCTGAGATTTTACAAATATAATTTTATAAATGTCTTCTTCTTTGATACTTCTGTCTTTTACAGATGACCAGTCTAACGTTTCGTATGTTTCTTGATGAATGCTGATAGATAACCATTCTGAATCAGAATGTTACGGAAATGTTTCGCAACATTTCCCCTAACAGGCATTTGTGTTTGCATAGTTGAGTAAAGGGGTCGTAAATCCCATTAACTTTATCACATTTGATTTTTCCCGTCAGACCTAACTAGATGGTCTAAGTAACTGACTTTCAGTCATCGAATTACAGATTCACACCTGGCCTCCCAATTACTTCGGTTAAGGCTACATGTTAACGCTATTAGTACATTTTGTGTGGCTTTTAGCTTGGCACATATGCTTGTGTTGGGTCTATGCGTTGTTTAATATGAATCATTTTTGTTTCATAAATTAATTGTCTAACTTCTGGCTTTTTTGGTTCATTCAATACTAAGTATAGTGCATAAATTACCTCTGACTAGATTAATGGTTCCTTTCATACTCATCTGAGTTGAGAATGATATGCTACATGACATTAGATAACTTGTTAACTATACCCCCCCAACTTGTATATCGTACTTATTTCCACGTTTTGTCTTTTGTGAGTTAATTCTTAGGGTGTATTGTAGTAATTTGGTTGATCAGACTATATTAGTTGGATATATAAGCTAAAAATAAGTATACTTATTGTATGACTGAATGGTCGCGTGATTTGTGTTCACTAGCCAGAAAATAATAACTAATCAATTACACTCAAAGTTGTGCTTTTGAATTTATTATTGAAACAGAACTGAGTGGTTATCACGAAAACTAATAAATTTTGTGGAATGGTTATCAACAATTGCATTGGACTGAGTAAAACCCTGAATAACATGTGTAAATATATTATCGACCCAAATGTATTGAATTGTTTTCAGTCATTTTCCTTTCAAATGACTATATTTACATATATCTATAGTTATAGTTGTTATTATGAAGATAGCAGTTTAAAGACTCAAATAAGACTACGACTGTTTAAAACAGTTAGTCCCTCTATTACATTTTGGATAACCTTATTGAATGACAGAGTTTATCTGAAAAGTTTAATACAATTGTTCAATACATTTCCAACAGTCTGGTCTCTTGTCAGTTCAGTTTATGCGAAGAATAACAGGTCAAATAAAGTAAACGAAGCAATAAGGGATTTAACGTTATCCAAATTACGAATGTTATTGAATTGAGACAGAGTTTAGTTTAATCAGTAATTGGTGCATATGTTGATTGACACGAAAAGTAGAAGACGACATTTATTTCCAACTGTGATTGGTTATATATTGTCTCAGCAGCTGACTCCCAGAGCTTGTGTGCATAAAGTGGTTTATCCTGAAGCCCTTACTTATGAAATCGATAATTATTGGCTCACTGTATTTATTTATGTCGACACAAAGTGCTTTTTGTTTTACTGGCTAGATTTTAGGTATTTCGATTTATGGTGATGAGTGATGATTGAATCGAAAGGTGAAGTAGGAATTTGATCCATGACAGGATTCTAGCCAACAGCTACGAGATTACAAATTCGATAGCCTACCAATTGAGCTATCAAGACTAGATTTTCATTTCACTTCAATAAGTGAAGACGTTTGTAACTCTATTTCTTTCACTACTCGACATCAATTATTACTCATTCTATAAATGTTATTCAACTAAACTAGGACTAAGCCATTATATTCTTATTACTTAACAGATGATCATCTAATTGACTCATAGTTGTCAATGTAGGGTTCTTCTAATTTTGGTTTGTTATTTTTACTCCGGAAGTAAGGCTTTATAGACACGTATTACTTAATGCACTATTGCTATCATTAAAATGTTGACACTGATACATACAAATGTCTCATCTTTTAGTTTTAGTTGTTACAACTCAGGTTGGTAGATGGCTTTATTTCCAAATATTTTCGACTCGTTTTGACAGCAGTAAATGGATCCTTTCAAGGAAATTACGATTACTTTGACGTTAATGTCTGAAAGTCACACATTCGATAAGATACCGTCCTATTAAACTTAATTATTTTTGAGAGTTGATCGTTGAAAACATTAAATTTCACTATACAGCAGTCATAAGTATGTCACTGGTCACAGTTTTTTTTACATTTACTCCTTTTTGTACATAAAAGGCAATTTACTTTGGAGCTGTTAACAAAAGTGAGTGAACGTCAACTGCGCATCCACCTAACTCCTTCACGTGGACTGAATTATCATTTCACTGTTTTCTTCGATTATTTTCATCTATGCGCTGTTGAATTAGCACTTTATGGTGCATTAACAAACATTTCCCCTAATATCATAAGGTAAGCATATATATAGATGTATATTAATCATTATTAACATTACTACTATTTACTGATAGCGGCTATATGGATTACTGGCTTAAGAGCACGGCTTGCAAGGTATGCGTCTAGGGTTTACAAATGCCATTCGCGCAATTCGGTAGTATTGTGGCGTGTGCTACTGATAAGATTTATCAGTAGTATGTAAAAAGATGTTCAATGGCATAAAAACTTCATATAACAGGGAGATAGATTTGATGTCAGAGAAAGCAAATGATACTGCGTTGTGGAGATGCATGGGAGACGTGAAAGGAACACAAAGATACACAACACAGAAGATCTGTGCAAATGGTGCCTTAGAGATAAGGCATACATAATTTGGCCATATAGAGATAATATATTTCAAATAAACATTCCTTTACCAAGTCTTACGAATTCTGCTGTTACAGTATCGCTAAGCCTTACAAAATAAGTATGGCTCACACGTGAAAGATCTGCTCAGGCTAGCTGAGTTAAAACACGACACGACACTTGCCAGTAAATTTGGAATTGATTCATACTTTAGCTTGATTTTCGTTCAAAAAGCTTTAAAAAATGTGAAGGAAAATTACACAATAACGATGAACGGTGCATTTTAAGATGATGATTTTCACTCTCCGTACACCGAAAAAAACAACATTGTATGCACTTTTGTGTAAATTTCTAACTTGACCAATATATGTGTCTGCGTCTTCTCACAATTTGATTTAAGTGGTCTTCCCACTGATGAGGTGGGAAGGTGAGGTGCCCTCATTTTCACTTGGCTCCGCGACTACCCTTACATCATATTTTCTATGTTACATGCACAAGTCATCGTATCCTACTCTGGTTCTTATTCGAGCGTCTGGCGTGTGTTGTCATTCAGTGATCTCAGTGTATTTCCAATCCGTCTCCATTTCCTTATGCATATTTGTCGGGTGATAGGTTCCTGGCGCGTCCGCTGAATGCTCTTCATCCTCTCCGGCTGACCATCTAATCTTCACTATTGAGCCAGCACGGGCAACTATTGATAAAAATATTCAGTCTTTTACTTGAAAGTGCTTTCGGTGACGGGTGCACTAAGCCTCCGAATAATATACAAGCACCAATTAACTTGGTGTTAGTTTTGAAAGCTCAAATCGTGTTTTTTGTGCTAAGTGTCTTCCATATCCACAGTGATTTCAAAGTAATAAACAATTGTCTTGCTTTTCTGATTCGACCTTGACTGGCTTCGACTTCACTCGTGCTGCCTGATCAGGCAAGTGAAAGAGGCTGCTTCTTTTAGATTTCCTGTGGTTTTGGGTAGTGATCTTTTGTCATTTGTCCCACCCTAAATTTCTATATTCATTATCTCTCCTACCAGTATGTTGGTTTCACCTGTAGATCTTCTAGTTTGTGCTACATTAGACATAAATCGTTTGTAAAATTTAGGTCTTCTGGCTCTTTTCCGTTGGTCCAATATATTCATGTCTCCTCATCCCCCCACTCACGTTCTGGCTGGCTCATGATGCACTCCACCACAATTAGGAATATCATCGGTGACAGTACACAGCTTTATCTTTATCTTTTCTTGATTTGAAATATTTCAGTGTACTTTCCATTAGCCTTTAGCTGCTCCACATCGAAATTCAGCCAAAATTATATGTAGTCGAAGTGGTAAATGAGTGTTAGCTGAAGTGGGATTTGGCTGGAAATACAAATGTTTGACGAAAAACCCCTACGGTAAGGGAATTGAAATCGTTCACAATAAGACCATTGTTTTTCACCATCTTCTGGATTTCAAACATCACCGATCTTCACTTAGTGTTATTCTCTTTTCTGTTACCATTGCAGCATCATTATTTTGTAATTCTGTTCTGATTTTAAGTATGTCAAGCAATTCTGTGAAAGTTTCACCTTGGCCATTTAACTGTTAAAAGTGAAAGACACAACGTAAAATAATGATTTTACAAAAGACTGCGCTTGGCGCATGTATCGCTTCTTGTATTCATGAATTTCATTTGGCATTTGCGTTGTTCAGGTTCAGTCATTTGAAGGAAATTACACTGTTAAATAAAACTGTGATAGAGTTTAATACATTCATGAATTCACTGTAAAGATTACTGAACAATAGGAATGTGTTTGTTAGTTAAATCAAAATGCTCAAAAAGATGACGACAGATAGGCACTAGTTGTACAATCCCTCCAAAAGTATAATCCTTCCTCAATCTGGTAAATACAATTATGCACACAAATACATCAATTTTTTAAAATCATTTTATCAGGAGACTAAGTAACTTCTAATCTTTTGGCTAACTCCATTGTATTGTGATATTCTTTCACTATGATTTTGCCAAACAGTAGTCATTTAAAACTTGTTGCTACATAAATACAGCTTCCAATCTAACAATCTGAGATGTTACCTCGGGTATGCTTGACTATTTAGCTAGATCGAGTTCAGCATAATTCATGTTAACCGATTTCGGTTAGTTTAAAAGATGTAAGGGAAAAAAATTGAGCATAAACAATATGAATTTATTCCATATGGTCAAATTGTTTCCATTTGTTACTTAGAGTTTGTACTGCTATAATATTTAATTATGTTCGTGTTAATGTACTTCAGTTTGATTGACAAGCAGTCTGTCTCATGAATGATGCAGGTGTATGCACACATGCACAGCAGAAGTAGAGAAATTGTATAGAAGAAAATGTAGTAGTTGTTGTTATTGTAATTATGTATGCTTGTTGATTGTGCAAATTTGCATAATACAATAGAAAATAAACTACCTAAGTGAAATTTCACTGAGTAAATGAATTAGTAAATACTAATATTAATAATAACTAAGACGTGGGATTTTCAAAATATAGCACTTATTAAATATATTCTAGTCATTAGTACACATCTGTGCCTAGTCGCATTTGATCCCTTCAGAGATGATTGTTCCCCAACCCCACCCCGCTCTGTAAATACTCATTCAGCATACCTGTTTTAAACCTCATCCGTTAGAAGTGTATTTTTACCTCGGATACTTTCCTTCCCAGTGGGTTAAAATAAAGATTCGACTAAGCAGAGTCAGCAAAATGTGATCTAATGGCACACTAAGATGGAACTGTTGTCTTCATGATTCTATCTAAAAGAATATGGCTAGTGTAGGGTTATAGAAATGGAGACACAAACAATCTCCAAGACACAAAAGAAAAGGTATTCAGTAAAGAGTTACTCTTTTCGGTGACAAGACTTTCAAACTGCACTATCGCACGCATATATGTATGCATACATATGTAGGAGACTATCGTAGTAACTAAAGGGATATTTCCAAATATATGTAAGTTTTTGATAAAAGTGTAGAAAGCATTAATTGAGTAGAAACTAAAATTAAACAAATAAATTGAGTGACACAGAATAATGAGAGGATTCAGTAGAGCTCAACTAGAATTGAAAAAGGGTCCAATGTCAGCAGTAGAAGGTATATACTAATAAAAAGGAAGGATAGTAATAAAATTTGAAGAAAGCGAAAATCAGGACTGACAAAAGTTACATATCACGTGTAGGTTCAGCGACTAAACAAAATTCTATATTCAGAATTCAGGATTTAACATGTGCGTTGCAACAGCTTCTGTGGTTTGAAGAAGTTTGACTCGTATTCATTCGGCAAGATTTTGGCACTCTGTAGATAACTCAGAAGTCAGTTTGCGAGTTTGCTCGGTGTCCAGAATCGTTTGGGTATCTTAAAATAGAGCTTCAGGGAGATCTTTCCACCCGATTAATGCTTTCTGTATTGCGCAATTATTACAAAAAACTTACAATTTTAATGACACATCTTTGGAAATATTCATTTTGTTTCTGTGAAGATCTACTATATATATATATATATATATATATATATATATGCGATTCTGTAGCTCGAGAATAATATCACTGAAAATAGCAATTCCTCGGTGAACGCCTCTTTAATTATGACTTATCGGGGATTTCTAATCGCTAGTCTGTCACTATTTGTAACTTACAGTTACTGGCGTTGTGTCTCCTCAGGAGAGCTAACATAATACTGAGAAATATATATGAAATAAAAACTACTTTACACGCGTTTAGTTATTCCAGCCTCGAGTGAGAAAAAGTCGGAGTTTTTTATTTGGCCAAATGTATTTGCAAATATAAGGCCTGCTACTTTCTGTAGATTAACGGTTCTCAGACACAATATGAGGACACAGTCTAAACAAGTAAGATAAAACTTTTCAACTTGTTAAACATACGCGTAATAAATGCATTCATATTTCGACTGGACACTAGTTACTTACTACCCTGGTTTATAGATTCCTTGCCTCCAATCATCTAGTAAAAACTGTTCATATGGCGTAGTCTTATTTTCTGCCTGTATATTCTATCTCCAGATAAGATAAGATGAAGGTATGTATAACGGTGGTTAAATTAGTTATTTTCCATTACTGGAGTTCCGAGTTGAAAGTAAGGCTTCAGGTGAGAGGCGTTTGAATTTTTAGTAGCCATATTGGTTTTACTTAGTGAGGTTGCTAGCCTTGCTACCAACCTTCCCACTTTTCCAGAGTTATTATATTGGTAAGTAAATCAGAAGAGGTTTGGCAGTGCATGCGCCGAGAATCGAATCCCTTATTTCAAGTTTTGATTTAAAATACAAAATCTTTGTTGCAAATCATGGTCGTTTTTGCATTTGTATTGTGACTCGTTTTTTCTATGGGACCACATCGATTGTTAATGGCTAGGATACGTGTTATGCATGCTAAGCCATCACCTTCCTAGATAAGAAATATTAACTAATGTATGACTGATTAGGCTGGAAAAGATTTACGAGTAGTCAATCCAAAAAAGTTCATGAAACTCTGAACTGTGTTGGTTTGGACTAGGTATGGAGTCAAAAACTCCGACTGGGGTTATCCAGATGCTAAAAACAAATCGTTGGAGATTGTTGGTGATACGGCTCACAATCGTTCTAGCTTGTGCAGATGAATTCACTCTATTTGTGATCTCGTTTATCTGTTCAATTCCCATTATTCTTCGCGTAATTATTCTTTCTCCCGTACATTCCCGTTTACTATAGATCCTTTACATTTCTTTTTTTTTCCTTCATGTTCCCAGTGGAATGTAGGGCTTCAAGCTTGTGGCTTGAAGTTTCTGTAGCAGTGTTCATTTTTACAGGATGGGGTTGCTAGCCTCGTGCCCAACCTTTTCTCTTCACCAGCATTATTTCTAGCTTAGCGAGGTAAAGGAGTGCGTCTGCCGGGGATCGAACCCCGACTATGCGTATGGTCGGCGAGCGTCCTAACCGCTATGCCACCGACGCCTACATTTCTTTTTTGGTTATCTCTATTTGTACTTGGTGAATTGTGTCAGCTTGAACTGCTACACTTCTGTGCGAAATTTAGTCGGTCAATAATGTTTTCCCCTCACATTTGTAGGGAATTTTGCCACTTACCGTGTTGATAATGGAATAAATCGATTTGCAATAATGTTGTTATTCAACTGACAGTATCAGGATTTTAAAATACCGTCCGGGTATTGTGATACAGTAAAGCAACAATGTTCGATGTTAATGTGCCTAGTGCAAGCATAGCAGTTATGATGAATAGCCTTTAATTATTTGTTTTGTCATTTTTTGTAACAGTTGTCCAAAAACTTCACCTCATAATACACCAGTTCAAATGAACAATCCAATAGTGAATTTAACTCAACAAACTTGGCATAGTATTCTTTGCAGTATTAAACAGGTAAGCTTTCTTATTCATATAGTTGTTTTTTTAAAAAAAAAATTTTAACCATCACCTTTATATGTATGTATTTATCTAAGTGTGTGTTTGTGTGTGGGTAGGTGTAAATGAGTGAATTATTTGTTTAGGATGAAGCCTCTCTTTTTTATACTCTCAAGTTGGCGGATAATAGCAATGTGGATATTTCAAAGTATGGGAAAATACTACACTAGTAACTAAATCGGTTATATACAGTGAAGTAATAATTGTCCTTTTATTAGTTCAAATATGAATCCACTTACAGAATATTTTTACTGAAAACTAAACATTTTTCTGTAATATGTCTTGGGGATATATATATATATATATAATGCAATTTGTTGAAGGAATGGAAGATACTGCCTCACCACTTTGACGGCTTTCAGTCGTGTCTTACAGAGTTCCCGACTGTCGCTTCTTATTGTCGCATAGATATAAATTAAAGAATACTGCGTCAGCATGCCTAAAATATTTGAGACATCTTAACCTGATATAGTGCGAAATCTTATCACTTAATCTTTTTTTATTTTGTCAACTATTGTATCCGTTACTTTATGATTGACATACTTGTACTTTTACTAAAACAGAGTGATTTGTCCAAGTGTCTGAAGTAATAACTCTAATGTCCATCTTCAATAACTGTATAGTAGAAGAAATCGTGATTAATATACGCAGGCCACGGCAGTAGTGATTGGCCACAGAAACTTCTGTCCAATCACGATGGATGCTGGTTTCACAGCCTTCGTAATGAAATGTTGTGAATTTGAGAACCTATTAAGTGCTCCCAATTGGTAATAATTTAGAAAATGTCAAGAAACATAACCCCGGTGGGTGCGTACTGATGAACAGTCTCAAACTAGGACGAAACAGATGTCCAGTACTCCCAGGTTTTCCAATGGTTCTCTAACCAATGTCAGCTCATGAAGAAATCCTCTAACCAATCAATCAAGTCCCTACAAACCAATACTTGAATAGAAATCATAAAGTTTCACTGAATGTGAAGATGTTACCCAACTGAAATCCCCCAGCTTATTTGCATTCATGGTATTATTATTACATCATGCTCTCGACAAATTTGCAGTGCTGCTGTTGGATAGTACATATCATACTTTACTGCATAAAATTCGTACTGTGTTGTGGAGAATAAAAGATAGCGCATAATTTTCAGCTGTACTGTAGTAATAAATGATACTTGGTGTCTATGTGGACTTAAGATGATATTAATAAATGAAAGTCTGTCGATGCTGCCTATGTATTCATACTCAATCTTCCCTATAATTGTGATATCCTATTTTCTCTTCTCCTCGTACATCTTATTTTTATCTTAGTGCATTTTAGGATCTTTGATTATTCGAATTTTATTTCTGTGTCCTCTATGGTAATAATAATAATAATGAGATAGTGTGGCAACATTAGACTACTACTACAACTACCCAGTCATGCCAATTTCTACACCAACAATATTTTAATTAGTTTCGAATTCATTTTCTTCTCAATGCTTATTTCTTCTCATATATCCTACTTAGTTGTATGTCGTGCATACATGTGTGTGTGTGTGTGCGTGTGTATGCAGCTTATCTCAAATTTGCTGAAGATTAGGAAGTGTGGAGGTGAATTTTGGGCGTGTTTTGTCTTTTTCTGTGATATAGTAGCAGCGTCTTCATTGTTTGGATATTTGACTTTTTTCTTCATTCACACATGGCTACACCCTTGTAGTTTAAAGGAATACAAAGAAAATTCTATACATATGCGCTTATACTTTTTTTGCTTAGATCTGTCGACACATTATAGTTATTGTTGTCTTACAACTAGAAGTTGTCTGTTCTCATCCACTGTGATCGATCGAGGTTAGCAGTTAGCATTTTACACGAATGTTAGCAGTCATCTGGTCTATTAGGTTCACAAAAAAGGTCTTGTAAAAGAAAGGTTGGTGCTGTTGAAACGTCCGAAGTTAGGAGGTGAAAGACTTATTACCTTTTGATTCCTGACGACACCTGTTGAAAACTGTTAGGAATTGTCACGTAAGCTATCAAAATTATATCTTCTACTTATAGCATATGAAGAGCTGCGATGTTAGTGTTAATCTTAATTCGCTGACATAACATTGTGAGTGATGTAGCATTTTCAGATAACGTATTGCTCTTGAATGTGTGTAATAAAACAGCATCGACCTAAGTTAGTGTTTATAAAGTGCATTTTCAGTAGAAGCTGATCACCGAAAGAGTAAATCCATCAATTCATACAAATCATATCTCTTATTTCATGGTATGTTCAGTTATAAATACCTCAGAGTGTATGAAATTATCGACATCATTTTTATTTGAAACACGAACTCCAAGAAATGCTTTGCACATGATTATAAGACAATATAAAGAATAGAGGAATAAAACAATTCGGAGATAACAAAATGAATTAGCATAGCATAGCTATCAAGTACATTCAAAGAGGTATTCATTACTTCATCCATTTTTGGTAGTGGAAGTAATAAGGTAACTGCAGTGTTGATTTCAACTCTGTTCCGTATTTCATAACGTGTGGAGCCATTGAGACTTACGATCTTTCAAACTCAATCCTGGGAGTCGTGGTCTATCAGCAGATACCAACTCACTGAAACTATCCTTCATCTTGCGATACCATGTTTTCGCTGAGTCCCAGGGCGTGGAAGCCAATAGGATAACATTCCTGCCATATGTAAAAGCATCCCAATCCCATATCTCCAGGTGATATCGTGTGTGATATTCACTCTGTTCAAACATGTGCCGCCAGACCTTTGAATTACCTACCAAGTGACAACATAGGAGGCATGCATTTCCACGGTGACAGTGATGATCAGACACTCATAGTCATCTCATTTCGGCGGAAGAAGTTGTGAGGCCTACTTTTTACGGCTGGACAAACAGCGCGGCGGTGCCTCAGGTGATCCAAGCTGGTTTGTGGGGCCCTGGCTTTCCCTATAAGATGAGAAATTTCATCTGAGACAACTCCTTTCGCAGTCTCGCAACTAGTAATATACTGTATTTCTCTGTGTGTCTTTTTGGTTTACAAATGTCAAATCTGCTTACAAAGTGTATATTAGTTTTGAGTAAGTAAGGAAAGTAAACAACAGAACACAGAATTTCATAATAAAGCTCATTCTTCTGTCTGTATTAAACTAAACTTCTGCTTGCGTATTCTATGCATTGTTTCACCGTATGTAATACATCAAAGAAATGTATTACTACCGTTTTTTGACTAGTCTGGTGCCTGGTTATTTCTTTTTCACTGTTAACTCATTCATCAGTACCACTGGATACCTAAACTAAGTAGCGTATACGTCTGTAAACCCTCATTATGTAAGAGAATGAATAAAACATTGATTACCTTTACACAGTGCTTATACTCTATAGATAAACCAGTCGAAAACAGAATCAAAACGGATTCAAAACATCTTGATATGTTGTCAGGGTTTTGCATCTGTGCTACTATGATGACTGTGATTGTCATTAAATATGCGTCTGGAATTCGTTCACGCACAAAAGTAGCTAGTATGGATTAGTGTACTGACCTAGTAAGAACTCATATCATCTTAACTAAAACTGTAAAAGATTGGAAAATTATTACAAAGGAAAAATACCATCCATTTTAACTCGTTACTTAAGTTGAAGTACGATTAATCTGAAATGAAATTTTAGGCTCAAAATGCTTCACTAATATATAAATTCTCTCTCGTAATTGGTTTGCATGCTCATGTAGGCTCAGAGACTGACTTCATGTTTGTTGTTTTTCTCTGCTGCAGTTGTCACCCATCAAAACAAGTTTATACTTAATTGAATTTTAGATTTTCCCGTCGATTGATTGGACCGAAGTGCTGGGTCTCAGGTTGACATATTGGCTTCTTGTGCAGATGCTTCGACGATGTCTGGGCATTTAATCAATCGATAGGGAAATCTAAAATTAAATTAATATGACCCGTGGCCCAAGTGGTCTAGTGGATAACGCTTTGGCATTTGAAACTATGGGCACTGGGTTCGAGCTTCGGTGTGAACATCATCACTCACTGAGACGTGCAGGTACATCCAGATGACGAGTCCCAAATAGGACGAAGTGCGCGTCCTGGATTCCACTGCTAGTCACCATCCACCAATTAAAAGGTCTGTACTTAGTCTGCGATAAAAATCATCTAGCAGTCAAATCTAGTAATGAATATGTCGAAAACTATTCTAAGCAAGTAGAAACAATGGTTTTGTTCAAATTTAGCTTCCTAGCTTTTCTTTCTGTGTCAAAACTCTTATTACACTACCTATCGTTTTTTCATGTAATTCTGTACATTATGAGTTATTTTTAATTAGCTCATTCACTGCTACACTTATGCATTTATCAAGTTTTATCTGTAGACTAACTGAAGGTGAGTGTTTGTGTGCATGTATGTGAGAATAATATATGTGAGCCAAAATGTGTGCATTCTGTTTGATACAGTTAAAACTAATATCAATTCATTCTACGATTATATTTCGTATCATTTGGACAATTAATCAATCTATAATGAATCCGTCAAAGCACTTTTAATTTATAAGTAATGCATTGCTATGTTTGTTTGTGTCCTAAATATTAGCAAGCGAAAACAGTAAAAAGTTTATCAGGTTAATCTGCTTGTTTACGTATATAATAATAATAATTATTATTATTGGTCTTATTGTTATCTATATCACTATTATTTCCATTATTATTATTGATATTCGTCACCCTGCTGTGTATCGTTTGCCAATACAAGCAACTTACAGCTGATGAGATATTTGTAGGAGCTTGAAACTGTGAGATGCTGAAATCCGACTCTTTGGCTGAATGATAACGTGCTCGCTTCGTGATTTGGTGGTCTTAAGTTTGACCCCTCGAGGGTTTACTGGTGCTGGCCAAGTTAAACTTTAAGCACCACTAACTACCAATGGAGTGCGACCGCACCAATGACCTTGAAAAGCTCACTGAGCAAGTTAGTGGAATCCGGCAAATAATAATGTCATCATCAATAAAATATGCTCATCGAAGTATTATGTTATTAAATAGGATATCTGGCAAGTTTCAGCTTAGGTTTGCGAAAGATTAAGTTACTCTTTAAGCCAAGGACAAGTTAGGGTTAGGTTAATCTAACAAAGGCGACAGTAGGTTTGGTTCGAGTTAGATTACAGTTAGTTTAGGGATATTTTCACGTTAGGATTAGGTTCAGGAAAGATTAGGGTTGTTGTTAGGGTTAGAAGACCTAAATAATTACATGCATAGAATGTGGTTAAATTACTCTGTTGACATAAGAATAGAACTTGTGCACTGTGGTATAGTTTAATTCCATTGTGGGTAAAATTTATTCTGATAAAGTCTCACAGTGTTATACAGTAATATTTACTGATGGCGTTTCGAGCACAATTTATTGTTCAGTAAATATTACTGTATAACACTATGAAACTTTATCAAAATAAATTTTACCCACAATGGAATTATACTCTGTTGATACACCAACCTAAAACTGAGAGCTATTTTTATCCCATGTGAGAGGAAGCTATCCTCTGTAACACTTTTATACAGTTTTTATGCAATTTTTTCATAAATATATGTATTCCATACACAAAAATGCCTCCTTCACGTGATTGGTGCTTTCGAGGCCATTTGCTGATTGGTAGTTAGTGGTGCTTAAAGTTTAACTTTGCCCTGGTGCTCACTTCTGAAAAGTCCAAAACTCGACGAAAAAGCTATTCAATGGTTCTTTTTTAGCTAGTATCAGTTAGTGATGAAATTAACCTGTCCATACTGATAACAGGAAATCTGTGGTTGAGATTGATTTTTCATAACTCAGTAGTCAAATGTGTTTTACTGGATTAACACCTAAAATTATTAACTGATCAACTGAGTTTCAAAAGAGAGAAAAAAGGAATTCAAAAGAATTATAATGAACAGAAATATATGGGAGAATGAACAATTGCATTGAGAATAATGATAATACATTGGTTCCGGAGATTAGAAAGAGTGGAAATATCTGCACCATTGAGAACGATTTTGAACCATGTCAATAACAGTCTCCAGCCGCTAGCTCTTTACGCCTTGTATACCCAACGGAGCAGTTTTTCTCTTCCTACCGTGACTCATGGATTGATTCCATGTTTTGGTTCCACCGCCCACAACTCGTTTCCAACCTAATCCTTGGCCACCTAATATTGCTTAATGAGAAAGGTAAAGGGCCGGAACACCTGCCCGAGCCATCTCAGTCGATGTAGCGTCACAGCCGTTTCGATTGACTTCACCTTCTTACCTAACACTACGTCTAACCTCAATATGGAATATACCACTTAACACGGGAGATACAACGCATACATCTGTGGTCAAAGATAGCTAGTCCCATCAGGCATTACAGTTTCAGAGGTCACTTTTCATGGAGATAAAGAAAGACAGAGCGAACTGCTGCAAAGCGAACACATCGTTTGATGGGTACCCGGATATCAGGTACACACCAGAGATGATGCGAGCTGGAAAATGCCACTAAAGCTTTTTGTATGCGCACTGAGATTTCGTCAGAAATCAGCCCGTTAGGGCCCATTCAAGTTCCCAAATAAGTGAAGTGAACGACAGGCCCAACCTCTTTATTTCATATCTTTGAATTAGGAGTCAGGGCACAGCAGTCCAGCAGCATCATCTTTTATTTATTGGGGCCGAATCACACGTCAAATATACCAAGATTCCAGCTTAAGGTGTTCAGATGTCTCTGCATTTCGTCAGCGTCTTCACCTCATACTCTAAGTCGATCAGACTGTACCCTGTTAACAAGTCAATTTCCCAGACGCTAAAGTCGATTGGGATCACATCCATTAGTACATCTATAATGAAGTTAAACAAAGGTGGAGACAATGGCCATCTCTGAAAAACACCTCTAGTTTTCATCACTTCACTTGATGACTCTCCGTAGACCCTTATACTGCTCTATGAGTTCAAGTAGTGTCTTGATTAATACAATATACTTTCTCAGTACCCTCTTCATGACTAAACATTTCCACAGCACTTCCCGGTCGACAGGATTGAGTACCACCTTCATGTCAAGAAATATGGCAATTGTTGGGCTCCAGTAAGTTTGCCTATATTCCAGAATCTGACGAAAGGTGAAGATATGATCAGTACACCCTCTTCCTAGTGTAAAGGCTGCCCGGTTTTACTAGGTTTGTTCCTCCTGATCACCACTTCGTCTACGCACGATTACTGAACGTAGAATTTAAGTCAAGCCATTCCACTATAATTGTCACAGGAAGACTTGTCATTATTCTTATGAACTAGGATAATGTATAATGTACACCAATTCAACGAGATTATCTCTGATTCCTGCACATTACCTAATACCTTACTTAACCCAGGCAACAGTTCACTAGCATGATCCTTAAACATCTGTGGAGTCATAGCACCAAGAACTGATGCATCACCTCGTTTCAGATTAGACACACCTTTCGCGACTTCATTCACAGTTGGAGGACCTTTATCTGCATCCAATTCAAATAGTCTTTGGATTCTGGACAAATTTAGCTTCTCCGTTGTCTAGTTGAAGTGTTCCTCAGGTTTTTCCTTCTAACGTTCAATCTTCTATAGTGAGAGTTAATTAGGAGATTGTCCTTGTAAATCGTTTTGCTTACCACTGAATTTCCACAAAATCGTCTCCTTCAAGAGTTTAATTAGTTGTCTGATGCAACCTACCGCTGGCGTCTTTTCCACTTCTCTAATGTTTCTTTCCCACCACTTTTTGTGATCGTTGTGGAGACTCCTACTTCATCGACTTTTGCTCCTCATCATGTTTGGAGCCTGTCAGGATCAGTCTTCTCGTGTCTGTCAGTTCAGATAAAGCAGTAGGAATCTACTGGCATTTACTAGCCTTTAGTTTCAGCTTATCATCAAGCTGTACCACTGTTCCTACAGCACAATGGATATTTATACCAGGCTTCCTTAGGATGAGTCGCTGTTAATCGCATATACACGTTTAGCTATTTTGTCCCTTAGTTAGAGGCTTAGTGTGGGTGGCATATCGACCTCCTAGATTACTGTTTCCTATATCCATCCAGTTGTAGATATGTACGTGCATGTACCAGTGCGTGATTAGAGTCTGTGCAAGTGCATCAGAAGGAGCAAGAGTCTTCTGATGATCCTCTTCATCGAAAGCTCATTGCTGCGATGTTTATTTTAGTTCATGGCTTATCATCATACATCGTGGAAATTGATTTCCTCTTAAAACACTTGAAACAGAAGGGGAATTAGTGTTGTATGACCACAAAACCCAGAGGACAGCTGCTTAAGACCAGTCACACACAACCTATATGAGTTGGTTTTTGGAGTTGTGTCTGTGTGGAGATATTACTACCAGTTATGGGCTCCGAGAAGGTAAATTGGGATGTACAATTTTCGGGTTCAGTATTTACTAACCCTCTCTTCTTCCCAGAGCAGAAAGACAGCATAGGTGGCTTGCCAGTTGTTTGAGGGAAACACCTTACTAGTGTTACATCCCTGTTCTCCCTCAGACCCTCAACATAGTCTTAAACGACTTATACTATAGTGATGACTACTTTTAGTCTTACCGCTATCCAAACAATTTTTCTGTCATGATAGGGCCTGCATGAATGTCAGTTCCAGCCAATTTAGCTTGTTGGGACATTGCGATATGCAAGCTTGACCACCACATCAGGATACCGGCTATTAGTCAGGCTTAAAATTACTACAAACAAAGTAACTAAAAAATATGCTCATCTTTTTTATAATGTTCAATTAAACCTGTTCACTGCATATAATGAATTCCACATATATAATTTACTGATGTATGCAATAAAATGTAACAAGTTATGGGGTTATCATAAGATATACGCGTTCATTACATCAAAACAACAGTTACATGAACAATCGAACAAAAAGTATGTATCATGCATTTGCCATTGATGTTTACTGACACATACTTGTTACTGTTACGGTCCAACTCCATTTGAACAGTTCTGTTTAGAGACTTTTTTAGTTTCGCGATTTATCTCTTATGCTGTCCTATCAACCTCTCTTTTAGTAGTTGTAGGAACAAAAATAAGAGGTATACTGTCATCTTTGAGTACAGAAAGATCACGCCAGTACCTCAGTGTATACTTAATCTATCGAACTTTCAATTTTATTTCACTTGATATTTATGAGGTCCATCCAGTTAAGTGTGAGGATGGCTGTCCCACCAACGACATTGGTTGGGGTCGCGCTAAATCATGAATTGGTAAAGTTAAAATTCATGGGTCATTGAATCGAGTCCCAGTGGATGAATGGTTTACGAGGTCCAGGGTTCGAACCCCAGTGGGTGCGTACTGTCGATGATTTCCAAACTAGGATGAAACAGCTATCCAGTACTCCCTGATTTTCAATGGTTCTCTAACTGATATCAATCCGTGATCAACTCATAAAAACAAAACTAATTCTTACAAACCAACTATAGACAATTATATTTATACGTAAAACGTTACTTGTCGTGACGTTGCTTCCGTTTCAAAGCTTTTTTGAGTAATATTGTAACGTTGATTCTTTGTTCAACTTTTTCGTTTGTTCTACTTTAACTTCAGGCTAGCAGACATCATTTCGCCCTTGCTATCCATAGACATCTTTGTCAAATATTACTGGCAGCAAGAGAATCTATGCTTTTGTTTTGGCGTGAAAGTATTCCTTACTTACCTGCAAATGTTAAACCTCGAATTGGTACGTTGATTAGTCTTTTCATTTTTCCCAATTATTAATATAATATTACCTTGTTCGGATACTACGATAGCTAATATAAATAACCAACACTGCTCTGATTAAATCAATGTAGCTATTTTTTTTATTGGTTATAAAAAGGAGGATACTAGAATTCTTTTTAATTCATTTAATTGAGTTGGTGCTAAAGATATTACCACGTCTGATGATGAATGATTGTCGAACAAATAATGAAGCCTGGAGAAATCCGAAAAATTTACGGACTTTATGTGTTCTGTATCGGTACAGAGCACTTTTGATCGATTCCACAACCAAAAGCTGAAGAGTTTCACTACTGTGTTATTCAATGGTAATATTGAACACGTAATCGACAGTGTTTAACTGACTCTACTTTGTTACGGGTGAGATTCGGTTAATACACTTGTCGATTTACTAGCACCAGAGATATATCTTGTAACTGAATGGTAATGTCAATGAGACAAACCTACTGGCTTCTTTCAGTGATAAGTTCGAAACAATGCTGAAAATGATTATCACATGAAAATGGCGTTTTGGTGAAGTCATCTCATTTTTCTCTGAATTTGTTTTCATCATTCATCAGCGCAAATAGTTGTTTTGTTTTTTGGTTTTTTAAAAAAACCTTTGTTACAACTACAAATGATTAATATGCGCTTGTCAGTGTGTATTTCTGTGTGTAGTCCGTTTCAGACATTCTTTCATAGATGCCATCTGATTAGTAATTATTGTGTTATTTAACCCAGATGTCTATTCTTCTCACTGATTTGATTCAGTATAGTATTATAGAAAAGGTTAATTATGTTTTCAAGTTAGCTGAACACTAAAGTTTTGAATTAATCATCGTAAAACAAATATGTGCATACATCGGTGCGGGAAATGTTAAGCTGCAAGTAATATGCAGCCTTTTATGCGATGGAGTAGGTCACAACTGTCGTTCGTTAACTATCCACACTTTGCTAAGTGAAAGGTGAACCTGCGACCTACTAGTTGAGAGTAAATACCTTTTATAGTGAGTCACAACATCACGAATATAATTATAAAAATAACACTGAAATATAAACTACTGTTTGAAATGCATGAGTCATTTTGGTATATTCTTTTTTGAAGAAGAAATACTGTGAAATTACATAATTCCTACGTGTACACAACCATCAAACGAACTTTAACTTGAAAACAATAGAATCGCTTACTAATATGTGTTCGATAGCATACAATACATCACTGTTATTAAAAAAAACACAACTGAATTACATATTGGAACACGTTTTATTAACTGATTTTGGATAACGCAAACTTCTCTTCAACCGAGCTCAAATTAAATGCGATTTCTCCAATGCTAGGTACTTCGTCAATGAGAACGATAAAGGATACTGATTTGGTGTACATTTAGTTGTTGTTCTTCCGCTCTTAGTGATACTCTATCCGATGGAGTGTATATCATCTTGACTACCGCACTAGACCATTCGATTGATTCCATATGTAGACTGTACACACATTGTTTCGGACCAATTAGAGCAAGTCTCACTCAACAAAAGGTAAAGTACTGTAATCGAATGGCATAAAATGATATTACGACTGTAAATTAAGACTGGTTGCATCCAAAATCGGTGTATGTGACATGTCTTGATTGCCCATTAGGCAGCCTTATGCACTTAGTTTTTTATAGTTTTGAGAATAATCATTAAAGACTGATGATGACTTCAGAAGAGTTTGAGTCACTAGTGTGTTGAAGCGTTGATCCCCTTTAGTTAGATCATCTTGTAAACAATTTACAGTTTACTTAAGTAATTCCACCTAAAAAAATAAAGTCATCAATGTATTAACCCCACTGACCAACTTTCTGCCTCAGTGTAGCAGAAGAGTTCGCTTTTGAGAATATCAGATGACGACCAGACTTAAATTCTGTTACAAGACTTCTGTAAGAAATATAATCCTTGTAACTTGTGTTTGCTAAACATCTTTAATGTCTGGATGGGGGATTTAGTTCACACAATTAAAAATCTGTCATATCGGCACCAAGGAGATTTTGATCTAAGGTGTCGCGTATCCTTACGCATTTCACCTTAGTTTTCCTTTGCTTCTCGCTTTTCTCTAATCTGTCTTCCACCGCAATGTGGTGATGAAAAGTGCTATAAAAATGCTGTCTTATGCAGTCAGATCAAATCTCATGTTACTTGTGTATGGCCAAGAAATCGATACGCTAATATCCGTTGAATGTCATCTCAAGTCGAACAGGTTATGAGGGATTAAGTGGTGATGTAAACCTCTTTACTATTAGGTTAACTCTGACTATTACTACTATTGTAACATTTCCTAAGTAATAATCTTAACGTCTTATTTTGCTTGACTTTTTAAATGCATAGAAACTGTGGACTTTCGAAGTAAATTGGACTCACTTACTCAGATAACCCAGGTTAGTTTTATTTCCACTATTATTATTATTATTATTATTATTAATATATAGATGAACACCAGTATTGTTGTAATGTAAACATCAATGCTTTCATTTGTTGTTAATTAAAGCAAATTCCTGTGACTGGAGGGAGCACATTAAAATTTTAAAATATGTGATAATGATGTTTACCGTTACACTAGAGCATTTGCTAATCAATGCTTCAACTCAACTCTGGCTACATGCTATATCCATACCATATAAAGTCAAGTGTTGGAAGTTTTTATCATTAATGCTTAGCTTTAAAACAGTTTTACTCTGAATAACCCTTGAAAGTCATACAGTACTTGGTAATTGTCGCGTTTCATTTTGTATTCATTACAAGGTTGGCAGCGTCAGTGCATCTGCTACGCGGCTATCCATTTAGTTACCTTGAATTTCTAAAGGGATTTATACAACCCGACCGATTGTAACTATAGTTTGCGTTATCGTGTTAGTCACTGAAAACCATCATCTTTCGTTTTACAAGGTGTTAAAAGAAACAAAGAAAGAAGTTATGTACCAGTCAATATCGAAATATCACAATGAAAACGATTTGACTAGTAACAGTGTTTATTCTTCATCAAATAGTTCATTTTAAGACTTCCTGTAGAAGTACTGATTATTCGCTTACCTTAGCGGGTTAAGTTTAACTATATGTGTATGACGAAAGAGAAATGGCTTCAGAAGTGAAAATTAAAAGTTGTAAATTACGTGGTACTCAACGGAACAAAGATAGAAATTTGATAAGGTTAAAATTGCTATTGAGTCAGAATAAAGGTATTTGAGTGTCAATTTAACAAGTGTGAAGAGGGTGTGAAAATATACAAAAGGAGCATATGAGAGTGATAATAGTGAATTAATTATTAAAGCAAAAGCAAACTAAAAGTAAGATTAAAAATTACAAAAAAGACAAGAAAAAAAATCAAATTTTTTATCAGGGAACGATTAGTGAGAAGGTTAAGACCAAGGTAAAATAAGAGACTGGACAAACGTTTTTTGCTTACAGAGTTCACGGTTATATTGATGAATTGCCAGCGCCCCCACCATACACAAAAGCCGAAACCTGACGCCCTTTGTACCATTTGGCTTCACTTTGTAGATGATCTTGAAAGACGACTCCGGTGGAGCTACGTGGCCTGGGTTCACCAAATGCTCGAGAATTGAGCTAGTAATTGTCTTACACTGTCCCTTTGCTAACCATGCCGGATATTGTTCAGAGATGCGTTTGAAAGCGTGCGCTTTGTGCGACCAATATAACTAGCTCCACAAGAGCAGGTGAATTTATAAACACGCATTGAGGTAGCCCAAAGCGGCAGTTTATCCTTCACACATCCGTTGATCATTTGTCGGCTGTAGAAATTGATACGTAGCTCAGCCATAAAGAAAGCTTTCCTCAGTGATCTGCATAAGCGATTCTTTAGGATCTCCGCTGCGGTATCACCTTTAAATTCAACACTCATAAATAGCAGTTTCTTTGGCACCGTCTGTATTCTTTCAGGCTTTTCCCCTAACTTCATGTTTTTCTTGATAAATCTTGGAGGATATCCATTCTCTAGGAGGACTTGTCTGAGTCGTCCTAGTTCCCCATCGATTGTGTCACTTAAACATACCAAATGGAATTCCAAAAAAATGGAATTCTGAGTTAATCTCTGATTCTGACGTGAACTTGATGGCATGATGGCAGCTGTTGAACTCTTTAGTTATCAATTCGATGTCGGTATTGTCGTCACATATGATGAAAGTATCATTCATGTATCTTTGGTACAGGTGGAAACTGTCGATAGTAGGCTGTAAGATACTCAATAGTAATTTTAACTTTATCAAATTTCTTTGTTCCGTTGAGTACCACGTAATTTACAACTTTTAATTTTCACTTCTAAAGCCACTTCTGAGTAATTATATCAATTATGTCACACCCTATTATTCAAAAATAGTTTCAGGTTTAGCATTCAATCAATTTGCATAACTTCCGACTATTCTCTGTGGTTGTGATTAAAACTAGGACAGAAATCACCAACAAGAGAAAAAAATGTCATTTTGAGGAGTAGAAAATGATAGAACTAAGGTGACTAAACTACATAAATGAAGTAATCAAACATTCCATATTCAATGGATGTCCTCCAATAAAGTATTACCATTTTCTAATATGTCTACTCAGACTACTTAAAGCTCTCAGTCATCAGAGCGTTTATAGAATAATTTTCAAGTATTGGTTTGGTAGGGATTTTGTTCAATTGCATGGAGGATTACATCATGAGCTGACATCAGTTAGAGAACCACTGGAAAACCTGGGAGTACTGGATAGCTGTTCCGTCCTAGTTTGGGACTCTTCAGCAGTACGCGCCCACCGGGATTCGAACCCAGGACCTTCTGGTTACAAGGCGAGCTCGTAGACCATTGAGCCACTGGGACCCGATCCAATGGTCCTTGAATTCTAACTTTTGCCAATTCACGACATAGAGCGACCATTTCGCAATGTCTTCTTAGATGAGTTACTGCCTCATCTTCAACCTGCTGTACCTTACTGGTGGCTCAATGGTCTACGAGCTCGCCTTGTAACCAGAAGATCCTGGGTTCGAATCCCGGTGGGCGCGTACTGCTGAAGAGTCCCAAACTAGGATGGAACAGCTGTCCAGTACTCCCAGGTTTTCCAGTGGTTCTCTAACTGATGTCAGCTCATGATGAAATCCTCCATGCAATTTAAAGAATAGTTTGTATTTTTTTAGGTTGCCTATTGTCACCGATGATATTCCTAATTGTGGTGGACTGGATTATGCAGAAGACTATGTGTAGTGAGAAGACATGAACATGTTAGACCGATAAAAAAACTCCAGAAGTTTTGGATTTCGCGGATGACTTATGTTTACTTTCATACAAACTCGAAGACTTGCAGGCTAAAACCAACAAACTGGCCGAGGAAGCAGTGAAGACACGACTCCGGGTGAACATAGAGAAGACTAAGGTGATGAAGATAACTAACCAACAACAGCAACAATCACTATCGACGGGAGAAACTTGAAGAAGATCACTTCCTTCAACTATCTAGGAAGCATTGTTTCAACCACAGAAGGAACGGAAGAAGATTTCAAAGGAGGTCAGAATCGGAAAGGCAAGATACACCTTCATTAGTCTGAAATCAGCTTGAAACTCTTCTGCATTCAGTCCGAAGAACAAAATTCGTATTTTCCACACAAATGTGAATTCAGTCAGTTCTTCTATATGGGTCACGAGTGCGCCACGAAAAGCCATTTCTAACAAGTTGCAAACTTTTATCATCAGCTACCTTCTCTGGCTTCATATTGAAGATCAAAGGTCCAGAAAGAATTAGCAACAAGAAACTATGGGAACAAACTTACTAAAAACCTATCGTTCAACAAATATTTAGGAGAAAATGGAGATGGAGTGGGCACACACCGAGGAGACCGTCGAATGACATCGCGCGCCAGGCTATATCTTGAGTGGAATCTGAATTGGAAACGACGAGTGGGTTGCCATAGGGTGACATGGAGGAGATCGTGCAATTAGGAGATGAGACATTATAGGCAATCGTGGACCCAGCTGAAGAGGACAGCAGGATATTGAACAAAGTGAAGATGTGATGATATTCGAAGGTTGGAAGCAATCGGCAGGAAGCCTTGCACCTAGGTGTCGTGCTAGATGAGACTTGTCAGCAAGGCGTATCCGCAGTCTTGAAGGAACTAATGTCCCTCCTGAGATTTGAACCTGCGTCACCCAGTGTTGCAGTCAGAGACGTTACCACTGATAGAATTCAGTGTGCACCAAAGACCACATTAGTTACTTTTGTCCAATCAAAGTGGAAATGTAACTCCATTATAGATAAGATTTTATTTTGATAAATCACACAGTGTTATACAGTAATATTAACTGATGACTTTCGAGCACAAACTATTGCTCATAATCATGGATATGTTTTATCAAAATAAAATCTTATCTATAATGGAGTTATACTCTACCATAGTGCCCAAGTTTTATACTTATATCAAAGTGGAAATGTGTTGTTGAAGGTCTGTTTTTCACTTGGAACCCACAGAAACAATAGTAAATTGTATTTGTTTGTTTGTTTGTTCGAATAAAGCATACCATTGTTACTTAAAACAGAAGCCAATTATCATATTCATTTAACTTTTGAAGCCAATTCAGGGGATAATAATATCAAATCATAATGATCTTCTGATACCAGGACACAGGTTGCAAACATATGGCATAATTTCCTAGTTGAACTCATACGATATGGTTTAGCTCTTGAAATAACGAACATATTTTGATGTTATTGTGTCCTTTGAGTTGAGTGGTTTGGTTGCAAATCCTTCATTTTGAACTTAGTGCTGAGGTTGTTGTCCACAAGGACAATGTAATATTTTGGTTCTTATTATTCTAAGTCGTTATATTTCTTATTTCTAGACCACTAGTTGACACTGTGTCTTTCTTCGTAGGTTCTAGAAACAGATGATGACTTGGCAAATCAGATTTCACTCGATATTGCACGTCTTTCATCCCAAAACACTACCTTGTTCAAACAACTTTGCAAATCTGTCACCTTGCAATCTAAGCTGGCCAACTTTCTACGCCGAAGATTTCATCAAATTCGTGTAAGTTATTTTGTTGTCACTTTATCGCTTCAAATTGTACACTATGTTGTGATATCCCTAAAGTCATTATTCTATGATTATGGTGGTCGACAGATATAGTAAGCATGGAACCTCGCATTATTGCAGGATTCTCTCCAGCTCATACTCGTACATCAAGTGAAAGGAAGACAGCGAAGTGACGATCATCCAGAAAGAGATTATGCAATGTTGTAAATTTCAAATTTGTCATCTAAACTCTCTCACATGGGTCAGATAAATGGTCACTGAATTCATATGTTGTTCTTCCATCTTGGGCTTTCTACCGTTTATCATAATCCAACTTAATCTTTCTTCTTGTAATATAGTACAGGTGTATTAGTGTAGTTGTGGTCTTCTAACTGGATAGTGCGACTACTAAGCTATCTGCACAGAATTCACTTGAGCTGCTTATCTTCTCCATCATATATAAACAGGTGTGATTTACGACCTAGCTAGTTCACTGATGGAGGTCTTTAATTAATTTGTCTGTGTTACCCAAGTTTATCTGTCTAATCTCTACTCTCCGCACCTAGCAATTCCATCAAACTGGGGCAGTGATATAATTAGTAATTGAGAAAATGTGCATTCGATCTGTCACTTTTGTTTGTCTTAAGGTACACGAAATTTTGAAACAGTTGAATACACTTTATCTCTGACTGCTACCACATATTTTGAACATCGACCTGTGTACGCCTTCAGTAGACTGTACTCATAAGTCACTTGCAGAGTTCAACTAAACTGAACTACTGCCTACACACAATGCATTCAATAGACAAAACTTTTAGATTTTCTTTATCTTTAAATTAGCATTTTTTCAAATCTTCACAAATGTTTCATACATTTGGTTCCCTTGGTAAATTTCGATAAAGAAGGGAAGACGAAATTTGCAGTATAAAATGATATCATTGTATTTCACAGGTTCTCATCAGCTGCAGGCTACCTGAAATTACTGTGGTTATATAGATGATAATAACATACTTTAATGTTTAAGTGGTAGTAGAGAAGAAATACTATAAAATTGACGCATCCAAAATGTAAGCATTATAATATGCTATTATCGTTTATATAACCAGTACAATTCCAGGCAGTCTGCAGCTGATGAGAACCTGTGAAATAGAATGATATCATATCATACTGCAAATTTCGTCTTCCTTTCTTTATCGAAATTTCACAAATGTCTTCTAAAGAAAGCTGTTTAGTAAAAAAAATATCAAATCTTCACATAACTAAAAAATTAAAACACTCAATCCAGTGTACGTTAGTATTGATTTCCTGGATTGTTGGCAAGATGTCCTATCTAGTATGATCGACGTAGTCTTACTTGTTGATAGTTCCTCCCCGATTAAATTAAATGTAAATGGTCTGACAACACGAATTGACAGAAACAGCAATCATAGATCACTGAGTTCCGATACAGTGGTAGTTGGACACCAAACATGCTAAGACGAAGTATCAAAGTGCAGCAACTTGGACGTTTGGTTCCGTACGGAGCATCTGTGTTGATTAGTCAGTCAGAAGAAAACAGAATTCGAGTACACCTTAGCCTCTTCAATGATTCTTTAGTTAGCATCACTGTGTGAATAAATACACCTTGAAATCAATGAAACCTGTAAAAAGTAACAGTTGAATGTTTTAGTGTTTTTCTCTCTTGCTTTACTTAATGTTTAGATGAAACGATTTGCTGAAGCATTTTTCTGTCAAGAATTATCACTTGCCAATTTATTAGCTATTTACGATTCAAGGTAAGTGAAGAATTTATATATGTTAATGCTTACTATGCATGTGTTTATTTCTGTCTACTTCGTTGTTATAGTGTAGACGTTTTTAAAGCTGCATTGTGTAAGGAACAAAAATACAAAATTTGATGATATTTACATAAACGTTGCATAGTAAACTGAAGAGAAACAAATAACTAAACGAGTAAGGTTGTTTTTATTTTCAGCGATAGAGGTATACAATCATGTTTAAAGTTACTGTGAAGAAGTCATTGGGAATAGATTCTATGGTATGTGTAAAATGATTGAAAACTATGTTTAAAATCAAAATGAATTGCATCATAATTTACAAGATTATGAAAATAATAAATTTGCATGAACTCCCTAAGTGTTTTAAAGTGCGTTTCTTTGATGCAATGTGAAGTTAGTTACTTAAGTGTGTATTTGGAATGCAGGATATATATATATATATATATATATATATATATATACATCTATATTATAGTTGGAGGTAATCAGCAGGGAGCCTTGAACCTAAGTTTTTCGTGCTTGTCGGTAGTCATCAGCAAGGCGCATCTGCAATTTTGGAGGAGCCGTTGTCCTTCCTGAGATTCGAACCCGTGCCACTCAGTGCTGCAGTCAGAGAGGTTAACCACTGAGCTATTCGAGCTCGTGACTGACCTTCTATAGAAATGTATTGGATACTTTGGTTGTACATTAGTTAGTAACTAGTATCATGTGTCTAGTCCTCTGTTTGGTGCAGACTGGATTCTGTAAGTGGTAAACATCTCTAACTGCAATACTGAGAGCGAGACGCTTTCAAGTTTGTGGTAGAATATCAGTCCTCCAGGATTGCAGATACGCCTTGTTGATGAGTGACAACGAGCACAAAACCTAGGTACAAGGTTTCCTGTCGGTTGCCTCCAACCATCTTACAACAGCATTTTGGAATGCACCGTGATGACGAGCCACCTAACATGGTGGCCACATTGCGAACTTGATTGATAGAATTCAGTCTGCACCAAGCAAAAGACTAAACGCATGATACTAGTTACTAACTAGTGTCCAACCAATATATATATATATATATATATACTTAATGAAGTTGAAGGTAGTTACTTAGGAGCAAGGATGCTAAAGATGATTTTACTCTTTTCATTCTTCATTGAGTATTTTAGTTGGAAATAGATAAATTCATCTGGGGGCATGCTGCAAGATGTCTCTGCTTTTTTAAACTAAATAATCTATAAGTGGTGATTCTGAGGAACTGTTTCGAGTAACAAGTAAACTTATGCTCTGAGTGACTTATGTAGATAGGTTATTCAAAAACACACACGAAGTGGTTCATGGTGATATATATATCCATGATACATCAATACATCCATCTACTCATCAGTTGCCATCTTCATGATGAGGCAGCTTACGTCTCAAAGAAAAGATCTAGACATTTATAAAAAATGCTTTTTGTAAGTGTATGAAACAATTAAGCATTCTGATTTAGTTACAAGTCTTCCCCCGATAAGGCTTTTTGTGTGAGTACTCTTTTTATCAGATTTTGTTTCTGTGTACACTCATCTCTTTTTTTTCCTGAATGGAACAAGACATTGATAGTATTTCTCTTTGCTGGCTTCATGTTGTGTCCATTTAAATCAATCCGTTGTCACAGGGAACCTGCGAAACTGAAATTCCCAGTTTACATCAGATTGAAAGGCAACCCTGATTAACTGATGATAATCACTGACTTTAAAAGTCTTCTAATGTATTCGCTTCAATCATCCAATCTAATTCACTTTTTTTGCAGATTTGTGATAAAGCACCAGTTAACAGAGATGATTAAGTGATGACCTCATTGTTATTCCCTTAATTTGTTGATTGAAGTTATTATTGAATCAAAAATGAACTTTGAAGGTCGAGAACAGAAATTCTTCTGGGTGAGGCACTAGAATATTGACATTAAAGACGTTGACGTATATAGATTTTTATAAAGATTAAATAGTGTTGGATCGCTGCCTTTTTGCAATGATCTGGGCTGGATAGATCGATTTCAAGTCAGTCAATTTCAAAATCTGGGTAACGTGATTTGGTCACATCCATTCTGATTTGTAGGGAAGTGATTTATTTTAACTTGGATTTCATCAAGAACTGGTATCAGCCAAAAAAAATATTGAAAACCAGGGAATACTGAATGATGGCTTCATCTTAATGCATTTCCTCAGCAGTACCTACTGATTGTCTTTCATCATCCTTTACTAAAAATGGTAAACTTCATATACCGAAGGCGGATTTTTAATTGCCAAATTATTGTGATTATGGTGACAGGAGTGACCCAGGTTGGTGTATGCTACTCTGGCCTTTGATATGTAATTACATGTGTGGCCATAGAGACGCCATTGGACACCTAAATAACTATTCCGAGTTTAGTCTCCTGTTACATATGTTCATGTTCACGGGTAGCACTACAATTCCATATTCGATAAGTTTATTACAAATATCAAACTAATATGATTATGAGCAGTAATTTATGCTAGAAACGTCATCCAGTTCCTAATACTGCATCACTGTGTGATATTTAAAATGAACTTATCTAAGATGGAATTACATTCTATCATAGTGCCCATGTTCTACACTTACATGAATAGTAGCTTTACAATATCTGTCGGTCACAATTGATTGATTTTACCCAGTGAAAGTGAAATCCATTTATAATAACAGTGTAGTCAAATAGACCGAAAATATAGCGTTTCTGTTCCCAATTGCCTCTTATTCTAATTGAATTAACAACTGGTTAACTACTATATATGTTAATCTAGTCGTGCACTTCAGCCTTACCTCTAACGCTGAATGCGACGGCAACACCAACCGGATTAGGTTCCATTATCACATGGGACATACTTTTTGAACTGAAAAGTGAAGTTGTTTTAAGTAATTTTTTGGGATATTCTATAAGAATGCTTTCTAGAGTTTTGATTGAATGTGGTTACTATAGAACTACTGTCAAAGTGCAAGTGTTCTAGAAAGAGCTAGTGTAGGCAGAGCATGTCTCAGAAGACTAGCTATATTAAATATTGCTAACCTGTTTTGTAATGGCATCTATAAAGACAAGGGTTCATTTTTATCAGAGAACTAGGTTTTGTACTAACCAACAAAATCATTTAGTAGTTTTTTCAATATAATTTTTTCTAATAAAACGCCCTTATGCCTGTAATATTCTGCATCAGACAAGTCACAGTGTATTTCAACCGAAGATTGCGGGTGTTAATCTATATCTTTATTTTATCCCCTTTATATTTAGTGTTACTTTATTAACCAAAGGACATTTTGGCAATAAATGTCAACTTGACATTCTGCAGCTTTCCTGGAATGTCTACGTTTTGTTTTGTACAATAGCATAAGTTATTTAGAAGTGAATAAAAACTTAGAACTGAACTTCATTCAATCGCTTGCTTTACTATTTCCCGATTATACCTGAACCATAAATCTAAATTTATCTCCCTTTCTCATATGAACAAAGAGTAATATCGCCAATCTTATCCACCTTTTTATTAGATGTTTGTTCACTTTTTAATGTAAAAGTTACAACTCTTCTCCATTGCCCGTATTAGTCTTTGTTAATTTTTACTTACAGTTTGGCTGGGCATGAATCTCTCGCCTCTGATGTACGCCAGTCGCTTTATTTCCAAAAGCTTCCAACTCTACCGGTTACATGTCGTGAATTGGATGGGGATATGACTAATTTACCAATAATTTTTGAAGATATTTTTCTACCACTCACTGCTGGTGAGACAAAGTCGCATACTCCCTTATCTATGAATTCATATCATTCTAATACCAGTGTACTGAATAAAATACCAGAAAATTCTGCACAGAAGTCATCGCTAGAAGTATTTCATTGTAATAATAAATCATCGTTAATCGGTGATTCATCTACTTCACAGAAAAATCGTTACGATGACAATGAGTCTGGTATTTATATGGAAGACGAAATGATCTCATCACAGTCCTCGAAACACCCATCGATCAATTTATGTCGACGTGATACTGTCCCTTGTGAAGGTTAGAAAGGAATTTTGTTTTCATTTTTCGATAATTGTAGCTTATAAAGGAGTAATTGTTGTTTGTTTATTTTGTTTTTTTCAAAATATTTTTCACTTTATTCTAATTACAATCTTGGTAGTTGAATAGATATACAGATATACAGCAGTGAGTTATTTTGTGTTGCTGCCCAGCAAAATAACAAGGTAACAGTGTACACAAGCGGTGTGACATTACAATTAATGTGCGTTAGTGTATAGGAAAATGTATTCCATGAAGATGTTCAGAATTTCAAAGACAATATAGGGAGTGAATGTTTTTGAGGTATGTTACTAACATTCTCCAACGATTGATTATTAATGTTTGGAAGACTTGAATTAAGGATCCTAAACTTCCGTACGCAGCTCGGACCAACATTTATAGTCAACGTGAGTTACTGGCATGTATCTGGCTTACTACAGTTAACATCGAAGCAAACATTGCAGTGTTTTGGCATGTGTAGAACATGTTCAGTACACAACCTGATGACTTACTTCCCAACCTCATGCCTTATCCCAATATTGTTTACTCTGTGGTTTCAATTATTATTATTATTATTATTATTCCCTTGGGTTCCTAGTGGAACATAGGGCTTCAACTGCACGTCTCCACTTGCTTCTGTCTTCTGCTGTACTTTTCACCTGCATCCATGTTAGTCCATACTGTTTCAACTCCTCCTCACACGATCTCCTCCATGTCACCCTTGGACGTCCCACTTGCCGCTTCCCTTTCGGGTTCCACTCGAGCACTGGCCTGACGAGCGATGTCACCCAACGCCCAAATATCCATTTTGGATGTTGTTTTTGTTCCCATATTCTTGTTGGTGATTCTTTCCGGCATCTGTCTTCAGTATAGACGAAGACGTTGTTGATAAGTACTTAATATTGGTGACGCCAAGTTCTGATCGTATACAAACTGATTATTGAAAATCCGAATTTTGTTGTTGATGCTGAGTGACGAAGATTTCCAGATTGGTTTCAGGTTGATGAATGTGTTTCTCGCCTTCCCGATTCTCGATTTGACATCCTCGTCCGTTCCTCCTGTAGTTGAGACAATGCTCCCTAGATAAGTGAAAGAAGTAACCTCTTTCAAATCCCTCCCGTTGATGGTTGTTGTTGTTGTTGGTTGGTTATTTTCATAACCTCCGTCTTGTCTATGTTCACCTGGAGTCCTGTCTTTGCTGCTTCTTCGACCAGTTTGTCGGTTTTCGCTTGTAAGTCTTCGATTTTGTGTGACATCAAACATAAGTCATCCGCGAAATCCATGTAGTTTCAATACTTTTGAGCAAATATTATGATGGTTCATCAGTCGGAATTAGTATAATCGTCTTACAGATTATGGTACCACTTGCCAGATACTGCATGAGTTGATCAGGTTTCACACCTCTCACATATTTAGTCTCAGTAAATAACCACTGAAGCAGATGGCAGAATATTAAACAATAAATCGTTACTTTTCTCACAACACGCATAGTGAGGAAAAATATTCACATAAAAATAATTAGTAAAACGGGAGAAGATAAGACACTTGGTAACGGAATGTTTATTTGCAATTTGATATACACATATAAGAAAATTATATATATATATATGCCGTGTGTGAAGTCTGTCATTCCCACAGATCCTCCGTGGGATTGTATTGTATTTCTTTGTCTTCTTTTCGTGTCTCCCATGCTTTACTGCAATACTGGTTCATTTCCTCTCTTTGGCGGCAAATGCATCCGTATCTCCGTTATTTGATATTTTCGTGCCGATGAACGTCTCTTTATATACTTCTGAGAAATTTTGTCAGTAGCACACACCACCCTAACACTACTGATGTGTTCATAACCAGATATAAAAAGTAATGCATCCCTGGTAAATTTAGTTTGCGTTGGGATAGCAAAATCTATCGATTCAATAGGTTGCCTTCATGCCAAATTACACATTACTTATCTTATGATGACCATCGTTGCCTACATTAACTAATAACAAGTGTTTATTATTAGTTGTTGTCATGGTTTTGTTTGTTTTACTTCACTATTGTCTTTTCTGTTTATTATGTATACGCATAATATTTATTCAGCCTTACTATTTAGGTCAATCATCATGGAACGTAGTGGTATTTTTGTTTATTTGTTTTGGTATAAAAAGTGATTGGACTCATTAAGTGTGTCAGCAGCCGTTTTGGATTTTAAATGTTATATACAATCTATTGTGTACAACCTTGTCCCTTGGGAATATTGTAAACAAGTATCTTCAATTAGGCTAGCCTCTTACCCAGTTTCCCCTCCCCCCCTACACACACACACCCAAAAAAAAACAACAGTCAAACATATCATGATGAAAGAAGAAGGATTTATGCAATGGGCAAGAAGATAATTGGACCAGGATAGGAAACTTTTCAAAACTCTGAAGATAAGACATGTTACAAAAACCTTTATAGACCTAAAGGAATCCAATAGCGTCAGATACTGAAAAAGTGTCTCTATTTAAAAAAACGATAGTTGTTAACTGATTATTTCATCACAAAGAAGTTTGAATAACAGAAGGTCTTGCACATTTCCTTAATTTATATCCTCTGATTAGCGAGTTGTGTGTGTGTGGTAAATTTGATACATGTTATTCGTCAGCATCCGATAATGTATTTCGTAAAACAATCTCATAATGGTGCACTTAAACAACCTTATACACGTGCATGTTCTATCCAATTAACTATATCATAATAAATACCATTTTTTCTAAATTTCAATAAGTGTGATAATAACCACTTTTATGATTGTATTTAAAAAAGTGGTCAAATGTCTAATGAAAAAGACTTACAGCTCTGCATCATACAACTGAATCTTTAAAAGTCGAATTGGAGGATAGTCTGTAATAATTCTGATTGAGAAGAATGATTTATTGACTGTCTAACCCATTTATGGCAAACATTTTCGAATTATATTCGTTCGTGTTCCTCCTAAAGTAAACTTAAACTATACATGTTGTCATAGTTTCAGAAAAAAGTATGGAGTTAACACCACTGGTTGTAATACAACTGTGAATTCAATATTAAATGTCGAAAAATGTGATTTGTCTTACAGTGAATTTTGCTGAATCGTCTTTACTTTTTACTACGGTATTTCAGTTTCTCGAATTCACATTTCTCGGTCTTGCGCTTCTTCTTCATGCGCCACTAAATTTTCTAAATCACTTTGTTTTTTTCCCAAGTGGAACAGAGACATGAATAATATAAAAAAAAGATTTAGTAAACTGGGAATAAAGAGACTAGACCGGTTAAATTAAATCATTTTGCTTTTGTCAATATATCAGCTTCCAGACTAGTCCATCTTTCACATGTACATTTTAAACGCCTTATTTTCTTTTGTGCTTTCCATCTAATGCTGTTCAGAGGCGTCGGTGATTTTACATCTCTAAGTCTGTATTTGTTTCCTTGTTGTCATAGATAGGCTTTTTGAGTTACAATGATTAACAGAGAGGCGACTAAAACAGTGATGTTGCATTTAGTTGATTACTCTCTCTGTCTCTGTCTCAACCTTTCTGTCCTTCTCTGTTTGTCTATCTGTTTCCATGGCTAACTCCATCTTCATTCTACAGAGTAACACCTAGTTCTAATCCAGACTATTTTTTATTTATCAATACTCGAAATAAATGGTACCGTTCTATTTTTTCATCAGAATTGCTGAATCCATTCCTTTTTCCATCTAGATCATCTTTGTTTGTAATTTCTTGATATTTTTTACTGATTGGTTTTTAATAAGTTTCATATATGCCTTTATTTAGCGTTTTACGCTATACCATTATGCGCATATGTTTTGCTTATTTTAGACAAAAAAACAAAACGTCCAGTTTTAGGCAATTATATGTACCCTTCAACAGTACCGAATCTGTTAGCTTATCAAACAAATGCCATTTCTCAGTCAAGTCCCAACCTCGTATCATTACCAGTACGACATATGCCAGTATCAACTAAACCAGTGTTCAAACCACCACTAGCCACAGTGACTACACCGGCAACAAATCATTTCAACAATTGTCAATCTAGGCGTAAATTCTATCCACCTGGTAATCACAGTCGAAAATTCCATTATTTTGATAGATCTCATGGATCCTCTGCTCTACAACATTTCAACGATGATAGTTCAAAAATTAAATTAGTTGGATATCGTTCCATTCGACCTTTGGATAATCATGTCGATCGTGATTCTGGTTTTCTCGATAGTAGACCTAGATTAACTGAATCCTCTTTGAATCTCCAACTAGATGCAAATCATTCTGCTAGTTCGATGGCAGCTACTGTTCGTCGACCTGTTCTCGCTATACGAGAGTAAGTTAGAGAATTCCTACTCTATTTTCTGTGATATATAACCTTGTATAGTAGATTTTTCTTTTGAAGTGTTGACTGCCTTATTCTCCTCAAAAACTTTTATTTGAAGTTATTAATTCCTTTCTTACGAAGTGTGACATAGGGCTTGAAGCGTTGAATTTTCAGTGGTGGGAGTTTTCTTTCCCAGGCTTAAGATCGGTTAGTAAATTTGGTAAATCTATCTGGGATGGAACCGGGAACTCCTATGTGACGTAAGCATTGTACCACTGAACAACCTACGCAGAAATGTATACGTCTCGGAGAAATATAAGGGGGAAATGATGTGTAAAAGTAAAATGTCATTCATACTGCTAATGTTTCAAGGCATTAAGGGAAATTAGGGCTCTTAAGTTTGGTACGGATCACAGTACTAAATACTACACTTATATGACTAAGCTTGTTCTTACAATTCAAACAATCATTAGAAGTTTTTCAAACTATTTAGTGTTGTTATTTTGGCTGATATCTTGTTATTCAATAGACCTGAAGAATAGAATCAGTCTTATCTGATTCTTATCTGAAGAAGGAAATTGACAACAGTTGTACCATCACTGTGTATAATGCCTACGTCCAAAAACATTCCACCACATGGTACTTCTGTCTAATAATAAATAACATATGAGTTTAAATGTCTGTAATACTGGAATGTCAGATATTTAAATTTAGAACAACACATTTAAGCGAACAATATTGTTTTCAATTAGATTTCATCACGCTTAACTCTAATATACATAAGTTTACAAATAAAAATTCAAATATAAACCAACCATGGTGTTTTGTCCTCGGGATAATAAGGTGGTGAATATAAATTGTGCAATTAGTCATAATACTAGTAATGATAATAATGACAGTAATAATAATAATAATAATAATAATAATAATAATAATAATAATGGTCTTATCAATAATGAGGATGAAAAAGTGAGACAATCTGTGATAACACGAATAATGAAAAATAGCATGATTAAACAAACAAATGTTCAGGTGGAAGTAGTCGATAAAGGCTAGTAAAAACAAATGAACGGATTAAGTAATGTTAGATTGTAAGGGCAGTAAATGAAACACGTTTATAATGAAGGTGTAATAAGATTAAGGGATGATAAGAAAGGGGTTGAAAATATAGAAGTCATTAGTTGGTTATGTCTTAATAGGCCAAGGGAGGGATAATGGCTGTACGAACTTCTTTTGAATGCATAGTTGAGGTTTAGTAGTTCGAATGCCTATCGCCTCAGCTGTGTGCAATAAACGAATACGAAGTCCATCGGAAAGATTCGGTGGGATACGATGAATTACTTTGAAGGCTCTCTTTTTCTCCACTACATGACCACTATCAATTAAATGCGACAAAATTGAGCTACGGATTGTTTTTGTCTGTCCTTTGCCAAACCACAATGGGAGGTGTTCACTAACACGTTGGCTAAGCTGTCTAGTAGTACGCCCAACATAACTGTCACCGCAGGTGCAGTTGAATCGATAAATGCTCATAGATGTGGCAAAACTAGCAAGCTTGTCCTTCGTTTGCGTCCCAATCATTCGTCGGCTAGATAATGACAAACATAGGTGTGCCGCGTGAAATGTTCTTCGTATACTCCTTGAAAGTCTTTGGAATGAAATCTCGCTTCATAAGTCACCAGTAAATTGTAACTTAATAAATAGAGGTTTCTTACGAGCAGTCATAATCTCAGGTTTGTTCTCTGATGTTTTCATATGTTTCTTTATGAAACTACTCGGATAGCCCATCTCCGTCAAGGAATCCTGAATATATTCAAATTCCTTTTGTAAGAGGTCATCCGTACATTTTTTAAGATAGATAAGATATGAGAATAGACCCTAGTGGACACGCTTCCACTGTCATTGTGGATGTCCTACTAAGAGCAGCTTTGTGGGTGAGAGGATTGTGGCTTCATACTAAACTTTAAGGGTATACTGATATCTTTAACTTCCAGAGAAATTTATGACACTGTAACGAATTTTCGTTACTTTTTTTCCTGCAAATGCCTATCTAATCCTGTAAGTTTATTTGTTTGTTTATGTATAAAAGGTGGGTGAACAGTGTGTTTATGAATTATCATCACTATTAATACTGTATTTATAGATTGACTATCAATAAGTTATGCCGATTTACTGTTTTATCCAATTTCAGTATTCGTTCACGCTCCCTATACAATTTGTCAGTTAACTCACCTAGAATAAAACCTTTGCATTCGGAAGTCGCTGCAACTTCAAGCAAGAATACATTGAAATCAGCTTCGTTATCTCTCTTAAACGTTTCAAGTGAATCCACAGATATGTCATCAATTAGGTGTTCAGTAAACAAAGATCGTCCAACATCTAAATGGAATACTTTCACTCCATGTACAAATAACAGTTCAAAGACTTCAATTCTCACTAGTGCTAAGTCAAACACTATATATATGGAATCATTCCCTCGTCAATTGCACGAAGTTGTAGCCTTAGGAACATTGAAAATAGCTCCTTTACAACCGCCTGGTGGGTGTGTACCGCCAGCCCACCTCACCAAAGAAGCAGATTCTCTACTACCATCCGACCATTTTTACAAATCTCGTCTTGGTGGAAGTTTTGTCTCTTTACCAAGCATTCCTCTTTCTTGCACTGTTCCACGTGTTGTTTCGGAAGGTTGTCTTACGAAAATTTCTTCAGTGGACCAATTCTCTTGGAGTAAATCTCGAAGACGTGTAAAAGTTCGCAATCTGAGAAGGAGTCATGTATCTAGTGGCAGGTATTTTCATTTTCAGCTTTGCTTTAATTGTTTCACTCTTTTAATGCACCAATGTTTTCAAGCGCCTTATTTTCTTGTTTTAGGCGCACCACGTAGTTTCTGTATCAAACCAGTGGTATTTTCCGTTAGTCTAAGGAGCTGATGTATGAGCAGTATGTTCATTAACGTAAATTAATCGACACTATTTTTGATTGCACACTAGTCAGTAACTAGTGTGACGTGTCTAGTCCTATCTTCGGTGCAGACTGAATTCTATCAGTCATGTTTGCAATGTAGCCACCATGCTAGGTGGCTTGCCATTACGGTGCACTGTGGGTTGTTGGTATTAGATGGTTGGAGGCAATCGGCAGGAAGCCTTGGACCTAGGTTTCGTGCTAGTTGGCACTCATCAGCAAGGCGTATCTGCAACCTTGAAGGAACTGATGTCCCTTCTGAGATTCGAACCCGCGTCACCCAGTCCTGCAGTCAGAGACGTTACCACTGAGCTATTCAGGCTCGCAACTGACCTCCTATAGGACTGTATTGGATATTTTTGATTGCACACTAGTCAGTAACTAGTGTAATGTGTCTAGTCCTATCTTCGGTGCAGACTGAATCCTATCAGTCATGTTTGCAATGTAGCCACCATGCTAGGTGGCTAGCCATTACGGTGCACTGTGACTCTGACTGCAGCACTGGGTGACGCGGGTTCGAATCTCAGAAGGGACATCAGTTCCTTCAAGGTTGCAGATACGCCTTGCTGATGAGTGCCAACTAGCACGAAACCTAGGTCCAAGGCTTCCTGCCGATTACCTCCGACCATCTAATACCATTAATCGACAGTATAATGTCATTGTGTGGATGTTGACAACCACAAAAACACCCTGAATAAAGATCTAATATGTAGCAAACTTTTGAATATGGAAGTCATTGAGTAGTTTTGAACATTTCGACTGTCTCCTTCACTTCTCAAGGTGTACGTTACAAGAGTGCATCTAAGATTAGTTCAGCCTACCACAAAGTAACAGATTAACTTACAAAAACTTCGAATTAGATCAACACTCCTATCTGAACGGAGTGTAATTGATTGTGTTTCATTAAAGGGATCCGGTAAAGTTGTTCGGTTTACACTTTTTTTATCTGTAGACTCCACCAAGGTTTTTTAACGATTTTTATTTGACTTTACATCCGTTATATGAGTACACGTTCGTTTCTTCTTCTTTTAATTTCCTCCTTTAATGATCCTGCAGATATTTTTCTACAAACTGTTCTCAAATTAAATGGACAATTCTTCCAGTAAACATCTTTAAAAATTTTACTCACCTTAGGGAAAGTGAAATGGTCGCTAGTACAGGTAGACTTCTGTAATAAAGTAGCTCTAGGCTGATTAAGACTCGCTAGGACAATAATTGTCACTAATTTTTGAATGCAATAATTACTGATCGCCGTCATACTTTCATATTTTGCTTCTTCGATAAGAAACATTAAGGCTTACGACTAAACAGGTGTTGAGAGTCCCAAGATACTCATAGTTTGAAGAGTGACGTGCCAATCTGTTAGCTTGTATGGTGGTATTTATGATGCTATTTTCCCTTCATAACCAGTTGATGACGACAATAACACACTAAAGTCTGTAATTCAACAACTGATTTTAGTGTGTATATAATTCATTTTGCTTTCTCTCTATTTTTTCACATTGCAGGAGATCACAATGCAATCAGTTAAAAACTTACACTGCAGAGTAAGTTTTCTTTATTTTTGTTTTTGTTTTTACCGTCCTATTAGTATTCTCTTCTTAGTGTAGGCCTCTGAAAGCCAGACAGGATGAGGATGCATTTATCATATCTTCACTCTCTGATAGATACTGGAACATAGACATACTTACCAGCTTTCAATACTTTCCATATTTCTTGACCTGAAGTCGGTATTCCACTCCATCCACCGAGAGGTGCTGTAACAGTATTTGGCCTTGAATAAAAGCGCCGAGAAAGTTTATCGCTCTAATCAACACATCCTATGCGAACTCACACAGTCGTGTAAGAGCTTACGGTTAGATGTCATCTGAAGGGATGACAACCAGTAGTTCGTTAAAAATGCCCAATGTCATCATTTCTGTTTAATTTCATCATAGATGTACCAATGTGATTGGATCTAAGTGACTTAGGGATTGACTTGACAAGAGTCTTATCAACTTCAAGTATGCGGGATGATACTGTCCCTCTGTCGGTGTTTTCTCAACATCTTAAGCAGAAATCATCGAATGTTTAGTATGCGATTCGCTCCTGTTGAATGGAAGATGTTTCTGGGAGAGTGGAGTACACTGACTCTTAGCTTAAATATAGGTAGTGAAGTTGCATAATGTATTGTTAGCCGTAGTGGAGTGATTGACAAAATTGCTGCATGGATGCAAAAAGTCGTGCGGCACTTTCCAACTTACATCATCTCTGGTTTAGACGTGTTATCTGACTATCGATTAAAGGACGTGCATATTACTCAGCAGTTTGCTCTACAGTTCTTTACACCTGTGAGACATAACCGTCAAAAGTGGGAGATATACAGAAACTAGTTTGACCCCAAATGTTTGCGTTCTATACTCCGTGTTTAAGTGGTACAATATAGTTAGACATATTGTGGCTTGGCGTAGAGTATTAGGTAAGAAGGTAAAACTGAATCGATAAGGTGAGGCTACATCTAGCTAGAACACGTTGCACATGCGTTTCCTTTTTTCGCTACCTTTGTGTGCTTTGCAGAGTGTATCGACCTAAACTGCTAGATTTTTGCGCAAAGATTTGCGTTGAAAACTTTGTCAGTTAGGTGATTACGGTTATTTATACCCGTCTTAGTGGACCTTACTTACCAGTCACGGCTTCTCACTCAAAAGAAATTGTCCACCTAATAAATATAGAGTTTCGTGTTGTCTGTATAAGAATACGTGCAGATGCACTAGGCAACTTCTGAAACTGTGGCTCGGGAAGAAGATGAAAATTACTTCACCTTTTCTGAATATTCTAGTGAGCGTTAGTACGTCACCATTTAACCCACTAAATCAGATGCTCTGTATAACTTATCGACTAATGGAGAACACGTTAACAGATCTTTCAGGCTTTTACTCAGAAAATGAAGTATCTCACTTAAAAATAACATTATCATGTGTAATTTATTATTATTACTATAACTATTATTATTTTTAAAAATCTCACTTCTTGTTTTCATGAACAAATTTAATTTCCAGTTTAGCATATTTAGGCAGTTGTTCAGATTTACAAATCGCTGCTTTAGAAGATGAATTCAAATCATCAAATTGTATGCGACTTAGGAATCATTCCCTGAATGTTGTTCCCTATCCGTCAATGACAAGCTCACTAATGCAAGAGAGAAAACGACTTACGAAGTCGAGCACATTGTTATCAAATAAAGAAGAGTCAAATATGGATATGCATTCCATCTCATCGTCATTATCAACAATCGATATATTTGACTGTACACAACAGAATAATGCCAGTCGTTATCTGTTGTCTCATTGTTGGCCTACCAGTGGAACTAACCATCGGTGTAACAGTGTACGTAATCACAGGAAACAAAACAGGAAATCAAAAGTATCTGAGGATTCCCAAATAAGTATGACTTGTAGTTGTGATGATAAGAGTTATGTTACCACTCCAGTTACTTTTACTTCCTTTCCTTCTACTAATATCACCACTAGTTTTAACGGTAAATATCAGTGGCCGAAATCCCTAGCTATTGGTAGTAGTTATCCATATGGATCGAGTTCAGAGAATGGTACAACTTCATATGATTGTTTGTGTGTTGATAATTCTAGTAATGATAAAAAGTCAAAACATTTGAATGGGACTCAAGGCAGTAATGTTGTTGATACTTGTTCCAATAAACGGTCAACTAATAGTTCTGATTGTTCACACTCATCGTCTATTCATTTGGAAGGTGATGAGGAAGTGGATAGTGCTTCTCGTGCCAATAATCAAATACCTTTGCCTACAGATTCTGTACACGATAAGAGACTGAAGGAATGCGGTTATCAGATCCCGGATATTTTAAGCAGTGACGAAGATATAGCCAGAAAGAATTCACCGAAGCTGAGTATTTTGGAAATGTTGAACAATGAAGCAGAACGTAATGGTGCAAAGACCTCAGCTACAAATTGTGTAAGTGTTTTTCATATGTCACTTTCCTTGCTTCTTTATCATTCAAGCTTTTTTCAAACCTTATTGTTTTCCTCTTGCTTTTAATCCAGACTTATCAATGAGACAACATCTGTACATGGTGTATAATCTTCCACACAGCTCACTTACACTCACTTACTAGTGATTAGATGTTTAGGTAATGTTGTTAGCCTTCTTTTGATATTTGAGATTCACACTCTGGTACACAGTGATCTATATGAATTCTCCGTTTCACTGTCAGTTAGTTTCGACTCAAAAGCAAGAGCAATTAACTAATCTGCGACGATAAACAAAACGATTGCTTACTTTCACTGTAATTAGTTTCTCTTCTGCTGCAGATGAACTTCAGCATAATTTTTTTTCTTCTTGAAAGTTATGCCCTGTTTATTGTAGTCGCAATCATTACTATTACCTAGCTTTTGATTATTATTATTATTATTATTATTATTACTGTTCCCTTGGGTACCTAGTGGAACAAAGGGCTTCAACTGCACGTCTCCACTTGCTTCTCTCTTCTGTTGTACTTTTCACTTACATGTTAGTCCATACTGTTTCAACTCTTCTTCACATGATCTCCTCCATATCACCCTTGGACGTCCAACTCGCCGCCTCCCTTCCGGGTTCCACTCGAGCACTGGCCTGACGCGCAATGTCACCCAGTGGCCTCCTCAGCGAGCGTCCAATCCATCTCCACTTTCTCCTGCATATTTTTTCAGCGATTGGTTCTTGTTTTGTTTGTTCCCATAGTTTCTTGTTGGTGATTCTTTCCGACCATCTGATCTTCAGTATAGAACGAAGACAGCTGTTGATAAATGTCTGCAACCTGTTGGAAATATTCTTTGTGACCCGCCAAGTTTCTGATCCGTATAGAAGAACTGACTTGACGTTTGTATTGAAAATCCGAATTTTGTTGTTGATGCTGAGTGACGAAGATTTCCAGATTGGTTTCAGGATGATGAATGTGTTTCTCGCCTTCCCGATTCTCGATTTGACATCCTCGTCCGTTCCTCCTGTAGTTGAGACAATGCTCCCTAGATAAGTGAATGAAGTAACCTCTTTCAAATCCCTCCCACTGGTGGTGATTGGTGCTGAATGTTGCTGCTGTTGTTGTTGTTGGTTGGTTGGTTGGTTGGTTATTTTCATAACCTCCGTCTTGTCTATGTTCACCTGGAGTCCTGTCTTTGCTGCTTCTTCGACCAGTTTGTCGGTTTTCGCTTGTAAGTCTTCGATTTTGTGTGACATCAGACATAAATCATCCAAGCGCGAAATCCATGTCTTCTATGTTTTTCACGTCGGTTCAGGATATCCCTGTCTTTTTGTTTCCCACTGTCTGACGCATAATCCAGTCCACCACAATTAGGAATATCATTGGTGATAATAAGCATCCTTGTCTGACTCCTGTGTTTACTCCAAACGCCTTGCTGAGTTTTCCGTTGTGAATGACTCGGCATGTGCCGTTGTCGTACAGATGTTGAATAAGGTTGATGAATATTTGGGGTACGCCGTAGTACTCGAGTAGTTTCCAAATTACTTCGCGGTCAACGCTGTCGAAGGCCTTCTCAAAGTCTATGAAGTTGAGGTAGAGATTTGATTGCCATTCCATGCTTTGTTCGATGATGATGCGTAGAGTTGGTCAGAACATGATTTGCCTTTCCTGAATCCAGCTTGTTCTGGTTGGCGGAGTTCTGTATCCAGTGCGTCCTTTATTCTCTCCAGGATGATGCGACTCAGGGTTTTACTTGGCGTCGACAGGAGCATGATTCGTCGCCAGTTCTTGCAGAGTCCCAGGTCGCCCTTCTTTGGTAGTTACACGAGGTAACCTTTCTTCCAATCAGTAGGCACCTTCCCCTCCTTCCAGACCTTTTGCAATAATGCAGTCAGCATATCTGCTGTCGTCTCCGGGTCCACTTTCAGTGCTTCAGGAGGTATTCCATCTGGTCCAGCTGCTTTTCCAGCTTTCAGAAGGTTGATTGCATTCAGGACTTCAGCTTTCGTTGGAGGATTGGTGTCAACTTGCATTTGTGTACGTGCTGTTGTTGGTATTTCTGGACAGGTTGTAGGTGGTGGTTGGTTCAAGAGTCCTTTGAAGTGGTCCGCCCATTGTTTAATCTGTCTTTCTTCTTTGGTAATTGGGTTCCCTTGGCTGTCTTTTACAGGTTTCACTTGTGTTGATCTCTTCCCGGATAGAGACTTGGTTATCTGATATAGTGTCCTCAGGTCCCTTTTGCCTGCTGCCTTCTCAGCTTCAGTAGCCAGGTTGTCTTATAATTGTCTTTTGTCCTTCCTGGCACTCTCCTTCACTTCTTTGTCCAGTGCATTTGATAGTCATCAGGAAATGTTTTTCCTATTTTTTCATCTTATGTTCATAATTCATCACAAAGACAAATAATTTCTTAGCTGCTTCCAACCATTTATATGCGTGAAGTCAAATAGTCTACAAAATTTAATTAGAAAAATCTAATAATACAGTTAATATATGGAGCTTGGAAACAAAAAAAACACTTGACAGCTGCTAGCTAATTTCAAGCCCTTCTATGAGTACGATGGTTATATTTGCACTTTTCCACCGAAGTTCAACGCTTGTCGTTTTTTTTTATTTTGCTTCATCTGCCTTCGATCAAAAGATCACTCGGGAGTGTTCAAGCGCAAAAGAGTACTAAAACAGCAATTGATGTTATGTTGTGTTATTCGAGCTGTTGTGGTCATGTAATACTAAACGGACAGCTATTGTCTGTGGTGTCTGCGGCTAATAAAGTCGAACAAGGCACCCTGACGTCATCATTCTAATTTAATTTAACTACACATATACCAAAGGAGATGATGTTGTCTAACTTCTACATCTCAAAAATGCACCTCTTAACTGTTGAATACCTGATTGACCGCTTGAAGGGAAATGATGTCAAAAAACGAAATGTCGTTCACCATATGAGTTAAAATCAAAATAAGTTTTCAACACACACCTTATCCTTATCATATAAAATGATCTTACAAAACTGGCCTAAACAAATCACACAGTGTTATACAGTAATATTAACTGATGACGTTTCGAGCACAAACTATTGCTCATAATCATATCAACTTACTCGCACAACTTTTTTCCGTCATTTATACACATGTGTGGAATTGACTAGATATATAAATAAAAATCAATATAGGATAATGTTCATTCAGAAATAATAATAGTTTGTGCTCGAAACTTCATCAGTTAATATAACTGTATAACACTGTGTGATATATCAAAATAAAATCTTATCCATAGGGAAGTTATACTCTACCACTCTGCACAAGTTTTATACTTATATGGCCTAAACAATTATTTTTTTATTTATTTTTTATTTTGGTTACAGCTTGATGCCACACCGTATTTTCAGTACAAGTATGGCATTTTTAGCATGGATATCGGTAGCCCAAATTTTGCAGGCCGACCATAGATATCGGGTGTGCGCCGGCAGGGGGTCGAACCTCGGACCATGTGCATGGTCGGCGAGAGTCCTAACCACTGTGCCACCGACGCACTTACAGGTTAGGGACAGATGCTCACGTGAAGTGGAATCACGTGGTACCAGGTTTTAATATGAGACGTAAACTGCTGGGTGAAGAATTGTCAGCGTATAACTTTGCATTCAAGCGCAGCAGTTCAAGCTGTCACACACCATGTAGCACACAAAGGTGAACAAAAGAGAGTGAGAAAAGCGACTCAAAAGAACTGTAATAATCAGAAATCTGTAGGAGAAACAACAGTAACATGATAGGACGTGAGGGTTTAATGAATATGGCAGATGACAAATAGTGAATGCATCTGCGCCACCGAGAACGACTTTGAACTATACCATCAACAGTCTATGAGGTAGCAGATTTTCACCTAGTGAAGTGACTGACACATGTGTCGTGCATACTGAATAACCACTTCCCTCAACAGGTGGTATTCACTGATTTATAACTACTAAGACAAGTTGCCTGTTCGTATATTCTGTGATCTTCATCCTGAGTCTTTCTTACTTCTTGATCTGCTGTTTCGGACCGTAGTAACTCAGACGGATATGCTTTTGTGCAAAGTTATGCATTAGTCACAGCTCACTGTACTATCGTTTCACTGAGAGTAGCGATCGGATAGCAAACCTGCTTATTACAATAAGGTTTTCACTAAGAAATAAACATTATGTGATATAGCTTTTATATTATATGCTCTGTGAATTCACACTTCGTTCTTGTCGAAAATGAAATCTAGGTCTAAGGTCTTCTGATAACTGAATCCTCAGACTACAGTATTTGCAAAATATTGCACCTCAATTGTGTGTACATATCTACTGGTTGTAAACGTGGTGATAAAATTTGCAATTCAAATGACCTATATATACACATATATGTAATGCAAGTGACAATTTATCGCCCTTTCTTCTCTATGCTATCTGATTAAGTTCATTCGTGGAGTATTTGTGTGTGCTAGAGGTAGTCTGTGGTCTATGCAAATGAATCATATTATTATGTTATCATTATATTTTTGTAGACTAAAAATCATAGTACACCGTCTTATTATGATAAACTGACAACTATGAACTAAATCTGTGATGTATCTATTTAAAGGGTTCATAGACAGAGATCGCTTCACAATTGTATACATGTTTGTGCGTATGTTTGTGAACTTTTGTTTAAGAATTCTGTTTGTTGTCCAACCGTAGTTCAGATAGGAGTTATCTTTGATAATAATCAATAATCTAAATGTATATTAAGACGATTTTTTTTATTGTATATTCTATAATAACTTGTCTAGTCAACTTTAGTTTCGAGATGTACACATATGTGTATTGTTTAGTAGATGAAGAGATGATTAAATTTCGAGACATAACACCGCATCAATGTTTGACGGTTTATTTTTGCCATGTATACAAAACCAATTGTACTATCTTATGAGCTATGTATATTTTTTATTCAAGTGATACTTACAATACTTACAATACTATCTTAAGATGTGCTCAACAAAATGCAGCCTATCAACTATACGAGCTCGAATTATATTATTACTTCTGAAGCCCCAACTGAGTGATGATCACAGAGTATGGATTACTAAACAAATGTGATTTTCACACCCTAACGACAGATTTATTTGTTCGCTCTTTTGATCCTACAAAGGGTCACTAGTGATCTGAATAGCATGATGGTTTGTGACTTCGAAATTGAGTTTTATGCGTAAATCTTCCAGTTGGATAATGACTGCAAAAAGTCACGGGATTTCGGTTAAACACCTTGTATCAGTGTACAGGAAACAACAGAATAAAAGTAAATGTACAGGGGTATATGAATAAACTTGAAATATGCTATGTGATTTGTATTTGGCATTGCAGCAAACTGGTCTCAGTCCATAAGTGTTGAAAAATTGCCAACGCTTTGGCATTTTTTTTTGTGGAACTGGGATGCTATTTCAGTATTCAGCAAAAGTAAAAAAGGCTTATAGCCTATGATGAGGATAATTGTTGTTGTTCGCGTTTGTTGGCGCTTTATATGTTTCAACAGACAGACTAGGTGACTGTATCAGCACTTACCGTATTCTAGAACTCATTAACTTGAACCCAATGCCTTTGCGATTTTGGTTAACACACCAGTATTCGGTTGTGTTGGGTAAAAAAAGTATTTGGAGTGGTCTTCATATATATATATATATATATATATATATATCAGATGTGGATGACAGTAATTTACTTATGTGACTTCAGTGTATATAGTTTTCTTCCTAATGTTATTATTGATCACCAGCATAAATTTCTTGTTATATCCTAACTATTTGCTATAGTTTGGTTTGTAAGGGTTTGTTATGTTTTTACGAGTTGATCACGGACTGATATCAGTTAGAGAACCATTGAAAACCAGGGAGTACTGGACAGCTGCTGTTTCATCCTAGTTTTGGGAATCATCGGCAGTACTCACCCACTGGTAGAAGTTAGAATTCATGAGCCATTGAATCGGGTCCCAGTGCCGGAATGGTATACGAGCTTGCCTTGTAACCGGAAGGTCCTGGGTTCGAATCCCAGTGGGTGTGTACTGCCGATGATTCCCAAAACTAGGATGAAACAGCAGCTATCCAGTACTCCCTGGTTTTCAATGGTTCTCTAACTGATATCAGTCCGTGATCAACTCGTAATATCCTAACTATATGGTAAACGCGACTCAATAATATTTGCTGTTATTTATCTTCAGTTCCAACTTCTCACTTGATATTTCTCACTTACCTTGTTACTTAGATAAAGACGTGAAACAGGCAATAATACTTAATAGCTGATCACCAGTATACTTAAGTCGTCATTATATACCATCGGTCAAACAATTTGATACTATTGCACTTGTTAACTATGATGATACAACTGTCCTCCGTTATCATCAAGACTGTTCTGCTGTAGCATTGAAATGTTTACCTATGAATATTTATATTTGGTAAATCTACACACTTGTTGTGCAGAACTGCTTCAATGGTTTATAAACTGAACGAGTTGCTTAGACCCGTGTATTCTATCAGTTTTGAACTGAGCAACTACTCACAGTTTATTGTAAACACTTTCTGTAATTCCAAATGTGTGAAAAACAAAATGATATTGTTGTCTCTATCGTCGTTTCTCTGTTTAATGCTAAGTAAAATTTGCGCTTGACTCATGACGTAGTACGCTGGTTATTTTACAGACCGGATCAGTTAACTAATTGTACTATACATAAACTTTGAAATTTAACCAATATTTCAAAAAGTATATTTTCTTGTATGTGTATCTTTCTCTTCCTATACAGAGTGGTCCTAATAATGTGTTAAATCAATCCTTAATTAGTCAGAAGTCACCGAAAAGGAATAATTGCCCAGTCCATACATCTGTACTACCACAAAAAGAAAATAATGGTTACAAAAACACACTGAATGGTGGTAATCATCTAGAGACTGATAAATGTCAGTCTCTGTTAGATATTTTATCACCTGGTGTAATGGAATTTCTACGTCTTAAAGAAAAAGTCAAACGAGAGATTGCTCCACACTTCCAGGGTCATGTCTATAGTGATTTCGCTACATTGGCAGCTCCCTACGCTTATTTCTCAGAGGCTCCAATATTTGACGAAGATGTCCACCTTATTATTTGTGTTCATGGACTAGACGGTAAGTTCTGGTATACCTGAAATAAATTCATTTTCAAATAGTTCTCTATTGTGATGATAGCTTTAGTAATGTAAAAGACTAATTTAAAGCACATCATATTCCACTAGCTAGAATAATTCTGATAGATTTGCTTCAAGTTGACTTACAGACAGGTACACTGAGGTATAAGTTTTCGCATTATTTTATCATTTCCAGTTGGTGCTGTTAGAAACAGCTCACCTTAAAATAAAGATCAGCAGCAATAGAATGCTGTTAAAATGAAGAAATTATAGTGTAACAGGAAAGAATTAAATCTACATTGTTGTGAAAAATGTTCAGCAACTGCTTCGTTGCATTTGGAAAACTCAAAAAAATGAAACTTAGATTGATACACACAGTGTTTTCGTTTGTCTGCCAGTAATCATTTTCAACCTGATCTGAAGTCAGTGAACATCACATGTGGGGAAAGGTGATTTCCAAAGATCGCTCTGCATATTGTTTTATTCATGTGACTTTTCCGTGTAGCGAACCCAAACAGTTGACATGTATTACCATTTCATTGTCTTTTGTTGCACGCCACTGCTCGTGGCTTTTGTAAAGACTTCTCGGCAGTTTCTGTTCAATCAGACTTCTCTAATTATCAGTTTCTAAGATTACCTGGGTTAGTTTCATTGTGATAGTCGCCTACATTGACTTTTATGAAAGACAATGAATTTATAATACTCTGACTAACATAGGCAAGACGACAAAATGTTACTTCTACATTCCAAAATTGAATCTCTGATTCATTTTCAACTTGAAGTTGGAATTTAGTTGAGGAGTTTTAGCCACAAAAAGCCCGTAGGACATATTTTAGATTACAGTGATAGACTATTCACTTAAGACTGCTATTATCCAAGCTTGACATAAAACAACAACCAATAGTAGACTAGGTGAAGAAGTTATGACATTCTGATTTGTTTTGCTGGTAGGTGATCTCATCGTTGATGCTGCTTTTCAGTAGCAGTTCCAATATTCGAGCTGTCTATTCTCGTTAGAGTATTACAACTTCATAATTATCTACGAGGTGAGAGAGAATTTGTAGGAAATTGCACTTCTGTAGCTTGTTTTTAGAAGCTGTTGCTGTGTGTTTGGTGAATATGGATTTGCATCTACTACAGGAGATACTAAAAACCTACCTGTCTCAATATATTGTCTTTGATGACATTTTATGCACCAGCTTTTCGTCTGTTTCTCTCTATCTCCCTTTCTGTCCATTGTCGTGCCTTTTGTTCACATCATTAGTTACCCTACACTTTTGTTTTTCTTCTTCTGTGTGCCTCTAGTAGTTATACTGTGTTAAAAATTATGTTTTTTACGTACCAGTCAACCAACCTGCTAATCTTCTTAATTTTTATGGTCTTCGGTGATTGATATTCAGCTGTCGTCATACTTATGATTTTCTCAACTCATTCAATCTTTTCAGATATGAATTAGTTTTACACATTCAGAACTTACACCGTTTTCATAAGATTTGAAGGAAAACAACATGCGTAAATTTCAAATTATAATGTTATAGTTGATTAAGTGGTTATTGTACTCTCAGATAGTTGTAGTTTTGATTCAAGTAGGAAAGGGAATCCTTAGTATATATAGATGTAGGTAGCGCTGAGAGATTATCGTTTCCTTACCATTCACTGTTATTGTTGTTAGTATACGAAATTCCTTCTTTTCCTTTCTATTCATAACCGTTTATTAGTGAATTTGAAGTTCTCCCATGTTAAACGGTATAATATAGTGAGTAATATTGAGGTTAGGCATAGAGTGTTAGTGGAGGGAGGCCGAGCCAATCGATGAGGCTGTGAAGCTACATCAATCGAGATGTCCGTACCCCATGTTATACATGACAACTCATCTCCTCCCTTTTTGAGCAATGTAAGCTTACATACGATTGGGTTGGAATAGAGTCAGAACTGTTCAAACCCAATTATTATACCAATTCATGAATTCCTTGACTGTTAGTTTGAGCCACATAGTGAAGTGTTGACTTCCTGGCTGGAGTTGTCAAAACTGACTAATAATGGTTGGAGATTATTGGTGATATCTATCAAAATTGTTCTCAATGGTGCAGATGCATTCATTTCTTATAATCTTCCACATCCTCACGTTCTTATGTTTCTCCTTGTAATTATTCTTTCTCCCGTACGTTTCTGTTCATTGTAGTTTTTTTTGGAATTTATTTTTCTCTACCTTTATCTGCTAAATGGAGTGCAGTGCCGCATTTGTGTGCAAAGTCCTACGTTGAGACGGAGTCAATCAAGATTTTAATTTGAAGAGGTTTTCATATTGAAACTTTATTTCAAACTTTGCATTTATATTTCCTAGAAGATGATGAGTACTTACTTAAGATTCACAGAACAACGAGACGTCAGTATCGTCAGCAGGAACTGACAGTATGTGAAATGGACTTTAATGTAGCTTAGGCATCATACAAATGTCACATCCTGACTTATAAAAATTTAGCTTACGTTAGCATACGTAGAGAAGCAATGAATGTGATTACCGTTTTCTGGCGTTTTCTGACAGTATATGAAGTTAAAACAAAAGCTTGAACGATGATATCCTTCATCGCGGATCCTGTCAGCTCAGTCGGCCAAACGGTAAGTCGATGGCATGCTAAAGACTAGCTCCATTCCTGTTACAAATTAGATTTTATTTTCACACCTTCCAGTACATTAAATATTTTCCTTGACCGTGCTTCCAAGTACAACTTTCCCTATACGCGGTAACATATATATATAAATCCAGTGGTGAAATCAGAGTTAGATGAAGAATGCTAAACATTCAAATTTATGCTCTAATTAGATTTTTTGTACATGTATTCTTTTTTGCTTTAGGTAACTCCTGTGATTTACGTCTTGTCCGTGTTTATCTTCAATTGGCCCTACCAGACTGTCGTTTACAATTTCTTATGTCTGAATGCAATCAGCAGGACACATTTGGTGGTTTCGAGATAATGAGTGAGAAGTTAGTCAACGAAATTGTAAATTATATTGAGGACATGGAAGAAGAACCAAAGAGAATCAGGTAAATAGTCATTATTAATGAAACATCTGAAACCTTACGTAAAATTCTTAATAAAGCTGGAATTAGGGTGGCGTTTAAACCTACAAACTCACTTAGGGCTAAGCTCTGTAGGCTAAATGACCCTACTGACTCAATTCAGACGGAATAATTTTATCTACAAAATACTTTGCAGTGCTTATGAGATCGATTACATAGGTCAGACCAGTACATCGTATCTAGCCAGGTAGGTTATTGGAACATAGGAATTTAGCTAAGCGTAAAATGATTGACCCCGGAAAGATGAATAGCCTAGAGAAAAACTCATCACTCGCAAAGCATCCATTATCACAATCACACAGTAAATTGTGGCAAAGTTTTAGTTTTAAAAAATTATATAGCTAGGAGAAGGGAGAGTTTGATCATCGAGTCTACACCTAACACATGTAATAGGAATGACACAGCTCTAATATACTAGAAATGTAGAAGAATATTGCCACTAATATAATCAAAGAATACAGAATAATGAAATTATATGAACAAAGTTTGGAAGCTATGTAAACACATCAATATCAGTGTTGAGTAATAAATTGTGGGAGTGAAGTGGTAGAAGTAGTAGAGCACGTTGACCGCTTCACTTATTTGGGAAGTACCATCAGCCAGTGCCAAGGGGTTGATCTCTGACGAAATCTCAGCACGAATACAGAGGGCTAGTTTCGCCTATGCCAGTTTACTCCGTCTCTGGCGTAGACGTGATATCCGACTGGCTATCGACCAAAGGGCGTGTGTACTGCTCATCAGTCCGCTCCGTCCTCCTTTATGGCTGTGAGTGAGACCTGGCCATTGGAAGTGGAAGACATGAAAAGGCTAGCTGTGTTGATCATAGGTGCCTGCGTTCTATCTCCCGTGTGAAGTGGTATAATAAGGTGAACAACATTGAGGTTAGGCGGCGAGTGCTAGGTAAGGCGGGGAAATCAATCGACGAGACTGTGAAATTACATCGACTGAGATGGTTAGGACATGTGTTACGTATGCCTAGTCATCGCCTTCCTCGACGGGCAATGTTAACTGACATAGGGCGGTGGTCAAACCAAAACATGACACCAGTCAATGAAATCCACGACAGTTAGTTTAAGTCAGCCACGTAGGAAGGTGTAGACTTCCTGGTTGAGGTGCTCGGGACGGTAAAAACTAATGGCTGGAAACAATTGGTGACATGGCTCAAAATCGTTCTCAATGGCGCAGATGCATCCACTCCTTGTGACTTATGATTTCCAATGAAACTGTTTTGTTCTTCGTTATTACTATTCCTTTGTCTCACACCTCTTTTTACTGTCTATATTATGTTTTTCTTCTACTTTCTTCTCTTGCTTTGTGTGCTACATGGAGTGTGGCGATTTGAACTGCGGCACATCGGTGCAAAGTCCTATGTCGAAAACAGACAGATATACAATAAATTGTGGTCGTAAAGTCATCAGTAAATGATACGATATCACTCGCTGTGGTTGTATCTAAAAAAACGTCACTCTATGATGAAGTATACCGGAGAAAGATATTTATACAGATGTGATACTGGAAGTGGGGCTTCCTTCTCAGCAGTGCTACAGACGACTTTAGGCTACCTTATAGTAGAACGCTTGATAACATACTCTCATAACTGCCTGTAGAGTCTTTTAGTTGTTATTGGTTGGAGCTGACATCATTTGGAGAACCATTGGAGAACCTGGGAGTGCTGGACACTTGTTTCGTCTTGGTTAAAGACTCTTCATCAGTACGCATCCACGCACTACTTAATATTTTTACTCCTGAGAATTACTGTTGTCGTTTTATAAATAGATGCTAATTGAAGAAATACTGATAATCGTCATCAGTTGCACAGCCTTTTTATCGTTGCATAAAACTTCTTGCTAGTTCTTATAACTGATTTTATTTTATAACAATCATCTTCAAAATCGTCAATTTTCGTCTAGCTAAGCTACTAAAAATCCATGGTGAAGGATTGTGTGTTTTTATATTCTCCATTTTTAGACAATTCATGAGTTCATCCATTGTAGGCAGCTATTCTCGAATACTATTCTTAAGACACCTTTCCATTTGAATGGTAGATTTATTTTTATTTTGCTCTCACATTCAATTCTTTTTTGCTTTGTTTTTATTTTTCAGTTTTATTGGACACAGTATGGGTTGTGTAATAATTCGGGCAGCACTGTTAGATCATCGTATGAAACCCTATTTGTCCAAATTGCATACATTCCTTTCTCTTAGTGGTCCACATTTAGGCACAGTATACAACTCTTCCGGTCTCATTAATATGGGTATTTGGGTGATGCAAAAGATTAAAAAATCTGAAAGTCTTTCCCAGTTAAGACTACGAGATGATCCTGATCTGCGCAATACTTATTTATATCGTCTAAGTTCTAGTCCTGGTTTAGATTTATTTCGTTATGTACTTTTGGTTGGTAGTCCACAGGATCGTTATGTACCATATCATTCAACGCGAATTGAATTGTGCAAAGCAGCAATCCGAGATTCTTCTACACTAGGTAAATTTTGCCTGTTGATTCTTTAAAAAGTTTTGTCATATTTTTATTATATACACTTTCATTTAATCAAAGCAATAGTGTAATGCGCTAATCCATCATCTGAAAGCTTCAACTTTCACAAGCTCCTTCCGAATTAACTTGAATACTGGATATGACAGAGGTTAGAACTGTTTTAGGCTATGAATAATAACTAAATGGTGTCGTTTACTTTTTTGTCGGTACATACATCAAAGGGATAAATTCAAGTGAACAATCAGGCGACCTTCTTGATAATTACGCTATCAGACTGTTGAACTAAAATTTTCATCTTTTCGCTACTCGTCTTGTCTGACTTGTTTATTCGCTGTGATGTATGTAGAACTCATATCGTCTTGTCTTTAACGAGTACCTTGAAACAGTTTGCTTTACTATCTTAGATCATAACTAAGGTGCGTATGAATCATAGCTAATGAAGGTCAATTAGAAAGTATCCAGATTATCCCATTAGACATATTATAAGCGATCGTAGTCCACCGCATAAAAGTGTATTCATATACATCTTTAAATGTGCAATTCATGTCGTTACTTTCACCTTTCAAATGACTCGAATTCACTAACCACATCATTAGCTGCATATACTATCCAGTACTGAATCCGATCATCCGTGAAAACAGCAATACCTAATGGAATTTGGGTACACTCGTCTAATGAATTCTAGATAAAACAGGAATCAGTACTTTAATTCCCGAATAGCTTTCAGGTTCTGGAAATACTCAGCGAAATAATTTTATTTATCGACAAAGTTATCTTCGATACCTGTACAATCGTATTTTTTTACTGAAAGGTAAAATGGTCTAGAGGGAGGGTGAAATCATCAATACAGTGACCCAGAAGCTCTTTCTGGAGATAAAGATAAAATTACGTGATAATCAACAAGACAATGAATGTAGTGGCTTGAAATCCGATAAGGTGGAAATTTCTATTGCATGAGGAGACATTCGGTTGAGTGTCCAGTTGACAACCATGGGAAAAAAGAAGATAAGGAGAAAAAGTGCAAAAAGAGCCTGTTAGAGTAGTAATAATGAATTAATTACTAAAAATTTAACTCAGCAAGTAAAAAAAATAGTTTGAAGAACACGATAGAATGATAGTTTGGACAAAATTTTAGTGTACATAAACTGTGGGTTTGAAATGCTAACGGCTCCACTGCTCACAAGCGCAACTGCTGTCTGTTATCTCTACTGTTATTACCTTTATTATTATTATTATTACTATCATTCTTATACTGTGATTTTAAAACTTTTATTACAGGATTTATCTATATGGAAATGGTTACAAATTTACTACAACGTCTTATCAAGTCTACACGTACCACTGTTGTTCGATACGATGTACATTATAGTTTGACGAATTCAGCGAACACACTGATTGGTCGTGCAGCGCATATTGCTGTATTAGATTCTGAAATATTTTTAGAAAAATTTATTTGTGTTTCAGGAGCTAAATATTTCCGGTGATAAATGATTTGCTTAATTATCTCTATCATGTATACATTTATGGTATATTACATCTGTGAGAGTACCCTAGTTTTCTGTGATGACTGGTACACAAATGTTGCATGATTTATCCTGCTACCGATTAAATAGTAAGTTCTGTTTTATTTCGTCTCAAAAATTATTGTCATCCACCAAATGATGATATGATAGCCATACTTTTAAATTATACTAATATATTATTAGATCAGAAGAAATAAGAGCTATGTAAAACGGATCTGAGGTAATCACTTACTCAAGACAACTGGATACTGGCATAAATCCATAGTCTGAGAAGTAGGTAAGCCAGTAACGGACTTTTCCGAGTGGGAACATCTACACTATTCTTAGTAATCACGAATCGTATGGGTGAACTTGTTTTCTTTGTTTCGATCACACCAAAACAAATGAATTAGTCTTGTATCTTTCTATAAAATATTGAGGGCCGCAGTATTTTATATTTGTTGTGTTTGTTTATTATGGATCATACATACTACTGGAGAATACTCGTAACTCGTCATATGGCTATTTATGTTAAGTTATGATCAGAGTTTTTTTTTGGCGTCGGTGGCATAGCGGTTAGGACGCTGGCCGACCATGCACATGGTCCGGGGTTCGATCCCCGGCCGACGCACTCCTTTACCTCACTAAACCAGAAATAAAAATTGATAAAGAGGAAAAGCTGGGAATGGGGCTAGCAACCCCATCCTATAAAAAAAATAAACACTGTTACAGAAACTTCAAGCTTCTAGCTTGAAACCCTATGTTCCACTGGGAACGTGAAGGAATAAAAATAAAATATGATTAGAGTTAGGATTCTGGTTAGTGAATGTATGAGTGTCTTACAATGATTATCACTAGTGCAACTTCATGAGTAATTGAAGTGACCTATACAGGTATTTGAAACACCTACTTCGCTTGTATAGAGTTTTATTCAACCTCTGATCAGTTGCTGCTCCACCCCGAAAAAATTTAAAATAGGGTAATGCTAAAACTACTCTTCAACCTTCATTGTTTGAATGAAATTTGTGGAGGTTGGCTATCTCTTGTTCGGCAGAAGGATAATAATCGGATTGTTTTCTTTCAACCTAGAAGCAGTTTGTGTCAATTGGTTGTCTCTGTTTAATGTAAAAGAGGATTTCTACAACTTCTGTCTGACTGGATGTCACTTTTCATTTGTAGTTCAGCTAGACCCACAATATCACAACCGAGCGGTAGTATCTAACAATTAGACAAAACTGAACTGTAAAAGCAGTGCTTTGAAACTATATCGAAATGAATATGATAAAAAAAATTTTGCCTGGCACATCAGTACGTTACACCAGTAAATGATCTGATGTGACTTAAGATTCTGGTACTAATGACATGGAATGCCTAATGCAGCTGTTCATAGAGCCGCGATAATACCGGAAGATAAAGACTGGTTAGTTACTACAAAAACGACTTCATTTGACAAAAGTATATCATATATTGGTTGGAGGATTTCATCACGAGCTGACATTGGTTATAGAACCATTGGAAACCAGGTAGTATTGGACAGCTGCTTCGTCCTAGTTTCTGACTCATCATCACTACGTATCCACTGTCCAGTACTCCCTGGTTTTCAATGATTCTCTAACTGATGTTGGTTCATGACGAAATGTACATTGAAATACCTGACTACTGTGATTTTTATTAGATTTTTTCTATTGAATGCAAAGCTAAGTAGAATAAAGGTGTATTTGTATGCTTTTGTTAGTAGTGAATAGATTAGAATAACACGTCTGCAGTTTGTTACACTTGGTTTTGCTTACTTAATTTGTCTCCCCCATCATGGCATAAAATTCATCAGTAATCATCTGTTAGGTACATTAGTCTGCTTGAAAATATGCAAGTTATTATAGGCTTTCTTCAAGTGAGATAGTTAGTAATCGAATTATGTACCAGATTATAAGCTGCCTTATCTGTATGCTGATGACACTATTCAGTCTTCAAGGCGAAATGAGTTTGAGCAGATCTCAAACCGGACATCTAATTCACGCATCCATAGTAATCATACTTCCTTGTGTTATTGAATATAGTTAGAAGACCTATTTGTTGGCTCCTTTGAATGCTCCTTTATTCACATAAATTTGGGTTATTTGTCTAGAGGAATTTTGTGTATGAGAGATGATTTTCCCTAGATACTTTCACTGTGAATGGTGAGCATATTTCGTCTCCAAAATGAGGATAACTACCGGAATATCGCATACATAAATTCTTCTGGATTTTAGTCCGAAATTAATCCCATTATCAACACACTGTTCTTCTTATCGTTGATATTTATCACCAATGCCAACCAACCAATTAACTAACACTTGTTGAGAAGTGTATTCGCTTAAAAATGTGCTCATTTTATGGTAAATGTTCGTACTTTTCATGCCTTGACATTTATCTTTGTTAATTCTTTATATGTCTAGGTTCATTAATGGGATGGTAAATCATGCCTCTTAGCATCTGTACAAACGTCAGATGAATTAAAGGAAGATAAGTGGAGTGTTGTCGGAATGGTTATAGTCTGAAAACACTTTCGATTGCATTTATCTGCTGGCTGTACAACGATTCAACGCATTCGCGATAACATTTCACGTACTTATGTTGTTTACTGGTGCAACTACACTTTACAAAACAACATATCACCAACTAGTCACATTTGGTTAGCTTTCCTTTATGCTTTTCTCTTCTTTTGAAATATTCCAGTTTTATAATGCGAGATACACTATCAATATTACTTACTGAATCCTTTTTTTTTAATTTTATATACATATGAATTTAATAACTTTGTTAGTAAATGCATAAGTACGTATCTCATATACTACTGATATACATAGAGTCTGTAGTATGTTACTTTTTGTTGCAGACTTTATTGATGTGGTTGTTGTTGTTGTCAGCTTTCTTTTGGTTTATTAAACTGCTTTCCTAATATCTACTTCTTTTTCTAAGACACACGCATATACACAACCGAACCGTGCATATTATTACATATATGCACGTATACGTTGTATGAATTATAAGAGTGAACATTAAGCAGCATATTTTTATGTGTGTATCTGTGTGTTTGTGTGTGTGTACAAAAAATACAACGCACAAAATTCATTTGTCTCTACTACTCTAATATTCTTTTGTTGCTTTCTGTTGATTACCTTCGTTTTTGTATTTCTTTTTTCTATGTTTCATCCTCATTTTTGTCTTTCCTTTTTTCACCTCATTTTGTCTTCGTGCTGTTGACGAAGCAAGATGTGTATGGCAACAATAATGACGATGAAGAGAAGAAAAAAGCCATCAATGAAAGGTCACACCTTCTTGAATGCATTCTGCATTATATTGTGTGACAAACTTTTCTTGTGGTCCACCTTTTTTCCACAGTTAATTTCATGTGATGAAATTTTCTACATTAATAAAAAAACAATGCAAATAAGCAAATTCAATAATTTCCGATAATTACTTTGTTTTTACTTTATTTCAGTAATGCTGAATATGTCTGGGTGTTTACGTTGGTACTTTAATAAAAGTTGACGATGTCTTGTCCACGCTAGTGGATTACGGATTGTCTACCAACTTGTAAATAACAGGAACGACTTGTAGAGCTCGGTGTGAGGATGAAAACAAATATTTGATATTCAAAGTAAAAATTTACTATTGAACATGTCATGAGGCATGGTGATGACCCGATCAGTCATCATTAAATATCAAATCTGGAGAGAACACTGAACACTTTTGATTATTTGGATGTTTCGTTAAGTTAAGTGACTACCTTTCACTGCACAACTTTCAATACTCATTTACGAAACGATAATGAACTTTTCTAGTGTGAATGATTTTCACATGACGAGTAGTATTTAATTTGTGATAGTTCATTGATATAAGAATAGAACTTGTGCGCTGTGGTGGTAGTGTATAATTCCATTGTGTATAAAATTTATTTTGTTAAAATCTCACAGTGTTATACAGTAATTCATATGAACTGTGATCAAGATTTGACCGGATAGTTGCAAAATAATTGAGCGCTGAATGAGAAGTAGACATTTATAAAATTATATTTGTAAAATCTCAACGAAATTGAAATGATTAATTCTAACATTTCGTTCGGCAATCTGGTCCGAACTTCTTCAGGGAAATTAATCGAATTAACATAACAGAGGTTTATATATAAAAGGAACAGCTCATGTTTTTAAACTTTGTCCAATCATGAGTCATGCAACAGGCATCAACATGTATAATAAGTAAAATTGTATGTTTACATATAAAAGTAAATTGCTTGTCCTGTCATGTGAATCAAGAAACAGCTATCAATAGGTATAATAAACAAAACAAACAAAAATTTTTTATATGAACTGTCATCAAAATTTGACCTCAGACTTTCAAAATTAGTCTACTTTTGTTAAAATAGATGTGTATATGCAGTATACAATGGTGTGTGTTTATGTGTGTGGGGTGAACAGTCATAAAACATTTGTTATTCTCATAGGAGCTGTGATCAAGATTTGACCGGATAGTTGCAAAATAATTGAGATGTTTTTTACAAATATAATATAATTTTATAAATTTGTTATTCTCTCCATAAGAAGACGTAGACAATCGGGAATTTGACCAAGTGTGACTAGTTGTTGATACATATCCAATTTATTTATTAGTCAGGATTTGCCATGCATCAGCTAAGATCACACCTTCACGTCTGTTTAAACTGTTGGGATTCATCCATATATGTAGGGCTTCTGCAGTCAGTCTTTCTTTATATGAACCAAAACTTTCTGTAAAACCTAAGTCTTATCAAAGTCGATTTTGTGTCCCGTTTCTATCGAATGCAGTGCAATCGCTGAGTTGTTTTCTAGCTTCTTCAAGTCTCCAGAGGTCTTTGGAACCACCTTTAGACATTGTTTATGCTCTTTCACTCTTATATTTACCTGTCTGGAAGTTTCTGCTACATATACGGCGTTACAATCCCCACAATTGATCTGGTATACGCA